CTTTACTTGTGATAGATTTTATACATGGTAAAAAATATGCCATCTTGGTAAAACAATCTACTACCTTAAATATAGAATCATACGAATCTAAGACTAGAAGACCTAAGATAAAATCCATAGAAATGAAAGACCATGGTTGTTCTACAATAGTTAAAAGCTGAAAAAGTCTACAAAATTGATGCCAAGGAATTTTGGATCTTGAATAAATATCACATGATTCTACAAAGTCTTTCAATGCTTCTACATTTGAAGCCACCAAAAGTCTCTTAATATTAATTCCAAAGTCTTGTTATATCCAAAATGTCCGCCTATTGAAAAGACATGACAAGTTTGAAGAACACATAATTATGCCCATACCTTTTGGAATGTATAATTGTCCCTTCGAATAGAGTAGATTATTTTTGAACTCAAACTTAGAAATATATTGAGACTTAAAAGGATTATTCTTGGTATAATGGACAAGAGAATCAAAGGACATACTTGATTCATATTCAAAATATCCATACCTAGTTCAAAATGTAGTTTTCTAATCATCTCTTTATTTAATACATACCAAATTATTTGCTCATCATAGATCTATTTTTTTATAGTTCTTTTTTTGATTGAGTTGATCAAGAAGTTCTAAAATCGAAAGTAGAAGATACATATTTTTTATGATGATCTTGTTGAGTCTTCAATAGTCTACATACATTCACAGAGATTTGTCTTTTTTCTTCATCAATCTGATAGGAGCTTCAATTGGAGATTTAGAATAATGTGTGAAATTTTTAGCCAAGTTTTCATCAATTTATTCCTTAACAGCAATTAATTTGTTTTGTGATAGACTATAGATTGATATTAATGGTGGTTGAGCTCCTTCATGAAGATCGATGGAACAATCATAAGGTCGATGTTTTGAAAAAATATCTAGGTTTCTTTTTTAAAAAATGTCTTGTAAATCTTGATATTAGCTAAGAATACCACTTGGGGTCTTCTTGCGATCAAAAATGGACATGGCATATAAAGTAAAAGATAAACCTTCTTTTGCAGCAAGCATTAAAGCTCTTACACTTATCAATAAAGGTTTGGATGTATTGAATTTGTGTGTTTTTACTTGACTAATGGGATTTTTGATTAAACTATCAGAAAAATTAAGGTTACTAGAAATCTAATATATTTGAATATTATACTTTTTTAATCAAGATAATCTTAAAATAACTAGATTAAATAGAAATCTTCTTATATTAAATATTACTAAGCTATAGCAAACTTTAATTGCTACATCTGAAGAAACAATCTCATGCATAACATCTCTAAAAGATAGCAATGACCATCCATAACTTCTATATATACATGTTTCATTTTTTTGATTAATGATATCTCTTGTTTTTTGACAAAAATTTTGTCTATAAAACATGTCGAGGTTCTTGAATCTAACAAAGTTAAGACTTTGTGATTTTTTAGTCTTAAATAAACTTCTATTATAAAATAAGGTGAGGGATGTGAAGAGAGAATAAGACCTTTACTAGGAGTAACACAAGATTCTAACCATACAGCCTTTATTGTAACTAGAAAAACTTATTTTCCAATACATTGTCTTCTATGGCAACCATGCTTCTCATTTTGTAGTTGCATTGTTTCTTTGGATAATATTGAGCAGTATGTTTAGCTTCTCTACAATGTAACCATAAGCCTTCTTCATGTCATCAAATCTTTTCTTTCTTTGTGAAGGATTTAAGACGTACTATATCAATTTGCATTGGTTTTGGCCTCAATAGATAAGTTTTTGAAAACTTGGAAGTTGTCATCATTATTTGATTTGTTGTTCTGTAGCCAACTCTTTGTTCTTGACATCTTTCAAATAATTGATTTTTTGCATGCAATGGCTTAAGCACTAAATTATTCCAAAGATTTTGTCTTTGGCATTATCAGTAATAAATCTTTTATATTATCCTTTAATCCATATTAAAATTGATTGATAAGGGCTTTGTCATCCCAATCCGAGTCGCAAATGAAGTTTTGGAATTCAACAAAATATATAGTAGCTGACCATGATCCTTCCTTTAAATATAATAGCTTAGTCTATGCTACTCTTTTTCGATCATTTTTTCCAAATGTGGTCATAAATACTTCTAAGAATGAATTCAAATCATAAAAGAGTTACAAATCCTTTTTCATTAAAGGTGCAAATCAAAAGAAAGTACTTCATGATAGAAGTGCTCCTATAAATCTGACTTGAGTAAATCCAACGGGATATTCGAAAAGATGCAACCTAAAATAGAGCTTCACTTATTACAAAAATCTTCAAAATTTTTATCTTATTCCATCAAACTTTTCAAGCATACTAATCCTTGTTCCCATCATACTTGTGGAAGTAAAATTCTTTGGATTTGGTTGCAAGGTAGATCTACTTACTTCTTTTAATTGCACAATTTCTTGTTGTAGATTCTAAATTTCTTCAATAAGCATAGGCATAGTATTTCAATGATTCACATTGAAAATACGTGAGATTTTCATTCTTTAAGTATTGACAAGCTCATGAACATCTATAATAGTTACAAATCTATTCTCACTTCCACTAAGATTAGCATCCATAATTTTTCTTTCTATAAACAACTCAAGAAAATTCAAAAAGTTAAATTAGAGGAGGATAATCCACAACCTCTAATATTAAATGAATTTTTTTACAAAGAGGGGTAATCTACTATCTTTGAGGAAAAGATTAGTGTTAGAAAATAAGATTTTTTATTTAAAGGTGGATAGTCTACAACCTTAAAAATACAAAAATAGAATAGAAATAGTATACTCAATTATAAAATAAGATAGAAATAATAAGTTAGTAAGTTTTTAACCTATCAATCAATTAGAAACATATGTAAAGTCAAAATAGCATTTATGCAGCTTCTAAAAAGCTTTTCTAGAAGATATTATGAAATTTTATTTACTTTTACCCACTTCTATCTAATTATATAAGTATTTATTAGAATACTTATGTATATCCATAATATTATAAGAAAAATATTTAGAAAGAGTATTTTCATTTTTCTTTTCTAAGACATCTTAATAATCTTGATATTGACTTAGAATACCACTTCAAGTCTTTTTATTATCAAAAATAGATGTGGCATAAATAATACAAGATAATCTTTTTTTTACGACATGCAAAAAAGCTCTTATATCCATAAATAAAGATTTCATTGCATTAGACTTTTAATTTTTTATTTAATTCATAAAATTCTTAGTTTTATTTTAGAAAAAATTAAGATTATAATTAATCCAATTTATTTAAAGATTATATGTTTTTAGCTATGATAAATCTAAAGTGACTAAAGTAGAAAGAAATCTAATTATTTAAATATTACTAATCTATTATAATTATTACTTGTTATTTTTATAGGAAAGATTTTATAAGTAACATCTTTAAAAGATAATAGAAAATCATCTATGACTTCTACATGTACATGTTTTAGTTTTTTTTTATTAAAAATATGCTATATCTTTTTTTAAAAAAATTATTTAAGAAACAAGTCGAGGCTCTTAAATCCAATAAGATATAGACTTTGTGATATTTAGATTCTAAACTAATATCTATTGTAAATAAAAAGAAGGTTTGAAGGAGAGAATAGGACCTTCACTAGGTGTTGCACTTAATTCCAGCCGTACCATCCCTATTATAATTGAACAAACTTGTTTTTCAACATATTATAATTGAAAAAACTTATTTTTCAACATATTATTATCTTTGATAGTCATACTTCTTATTTTATGGTTGCATTTATTTTTTGAAAAATATTGAATAGTATGCTTAGATTTTCTATAATATAAGCACAATCATTTTTAATGATATCAAATCTTTTTTTGTTAAGTAAGAAATTTGAATCATATTGCATTAATTTGCATGTCTTCTATTTTTGAATGTATGTGTTGAAAAGGTAATAGTATTGCCATTGAATTATAAAGATGTTGAGGTCTACTTGTATGAATGTCAAATTAAAATTAAAAAAATAATTTTCATATTTTTTAGTAAAGTCAATTGTTTAATTCAATATTTGAAAATAAAATAAGTTGAATATCAATTTTTTTATCTCATATTATAATCTATAAAGAAATTGGCTAATGAATGCAGCATCATTTTATTTGATATCAATTAGAAGTTATCAAAATTATGAAACATATAACATTATAGATTGATTGCCAAGTGATATCAATATGAATCTTTTTGATTGCAACACAAATTGCATCATATTCTCCATACATGGATCAAAGCTCTCCCAAAAAGGCGTAAAAGTTATTTAATATTGCATCTCATTATTTAAGAAAAGATAAAAATCATAATAACATAAAACTTGAAAGTAGTATTTTAATAAAGTTGACTTCGGATCCTAGAATTGGATAGTTCTAGAATTGAAGTTTAGTCAGTAATTGTATTTGATTGATGAATCCTCAAAACTTTGATCTTGTACCATCAAACTTCTTGATTAAGAAAAATCTTAGTTTTTAGTGTTAGAACAATATTCTACCATAGAAAAAATAGCATGATTTTGTGTAGTTCTTAAAGCAACTCCAATCACTTCTATATCTTCAATTCATGTCAATTTTGTTGCTTTTTGTGGTAGTAAATTGAGTTGATACATTGCAAGCTTTAATTCTTTCAATTGTTCTTGCATTTGTGCCATTCTACTTTTTATTTTATTGATACGTATAAATTATACATGTATACATAGAATGAAAAGAGATACCTTCCAATATTTATTTTTTTTTCCTTCCTTTGAATAAACGTATCAGAAATGCACAATTTAAATAACAGAAACCTGAACAGACTCCGAAAAGGACACAAACGGGCATCCCCTTGAGATGAACAGAAACTGAACCCCAACGAATGAAGAAGGAGCACCCAAGACCGAGATCAACAGATTTCATCCCCTTTACAATTGCTCAACACCGCGGTGGTCCTATACCCGTTACCGCTACCATCTCCACGTCGAATGTTCCAGGGTCAGACCAATACGAAGCGAGTACTCAGAGTTGCGGCTCCGAAGCCAGACTTCGTCCTTGTTTAGAAGGGCCTTCGGTGTTGCACTCTTTCGGCAACAAAACTCGCAGTACCAGCGCCGCAGAGGTGAAGCCCTCGCACTGTTGCTTGGTTAGGAGCTCAACAGCGACGCGATTGCGGCGCATTGTGGCGTGATGTAGTGCTTCGGTAGTGGAGGCTCGAAGGACGAGGACGACGCGGGGACAATGAGCAGCCAGGTCCGGGCCATTGGATTCCTAACGGCCGTGCTGGTCGTCACCGGCTCGGGCATTTTCTCTGTGCACTCCATGCAAAAGGAGGAGCGAGCGAATCTTCACCAGGGCGTTATTCGCGATCAAGCCTTGATGGCTCTCAAGGAGCAGCAGCGCAGAGAGCACGAAGCCAAAACCTCTCTCCTGTCTGTCCAGCGCTAATTTGCGAGAGAATTGAGTTTTATCCCTCCGTGCGCCTCCTTTGTACGCTTCATTTCCTCCCTTATTGCAAAATTTCGTGGTGTAAGAAGTTAAGTTGTGAGAGAGTGAAGCGCACGCTATGTTGCGCAGAAAATTGTCATAGAGCATCCGTTCGTCTTATCATATGGCAATACCCAAGAGTCTGTCAGAGAACCCATGCGGAGAGAAGTAGGTTGAATTCTAGCGCATCCAGCGCTAATTTGTGATTGCGCAATCACGGTTTCTGTAAATTTTGCAGTATCAATCTTGTATTGAGATTCAGAAATTCACAATGGTTAGTTCCTCGGAACAGTCGACCTCTGCCTTGTTTCGTGCTTCACCCCTCTTTTGGCTCTCTCTTCCTCTCGCTTCTTTGTATTTTATCTGAATTCTAGGTCTTTCTACCTTTTCGAGAAGCCTAGTAATTACAGGTTGATTTTACCATTCACAAGCTTGAATTTCCAGGAGTTTTGTGCTTCTAAATAATGCGCTAATTATATGTGCTGGAGGCCTAATCAGCAGCATTTTGAAACAATACTGCGCTATGGAATGAAATGTGTTGTCATTTGTCGATGCTTGAATAAGTAAAACTTTATTGCTCAACGATCACAGTATACACAAATTGGTCTTGCGGAGTATCTTGACGTGCACTTAAGCACGGTTCAAACTCCCCTTTCAGGAAATACTAGCAGACATATGAGGATTCTGACCTGATTCGTCGAGTTTCTGATAATCCTCCAGCCATGCAGTTCGCCAAGCTTGATGACTTTCTAATGTTTAGGAATTAGGTGTGCAAGACAAGCCCTTCCATTTTGTATATGGACTCCTCGATATGCCCTAGTCCCTAGTCATTGTACACTGGTGCTTAGACGATGTCGTAAGAATTGCAACGACAATTCTGAGGCTGATTTGGACGTTCAAGTTGACAGCTCCATGCTCTTGAAGAATGTACAGACGATCTGAGGGAGCGATGTCTACATTTCCTTGAGGCGTGCTGGGAGTGTACGTACGATTTTCAACCATGTTTTACTACTGTCTACTAGCTCGATATCTGCTCCTCTGCATAGTCATTTTTACGTAGTTGTAGTGAAAGGTCGTACCTCTCAGGGTCAGGTTTGTTGGCGTTAAAAAATGTGGAATACTACAGCGGACAAGCTTAGCCTGAATTGTTTTGTTTCAATGTTTCAATAGGTCCGACCCTGGTTTGTCATTCAACTTTGTGCAGACTTTTATGTAATTTTAATTTTGTTGACTACCGTATCCTTTTAAGCATTGTTGAGATTTATCGTCTTGGGTTATGATCAGTACATGTGATGACCAGATTTAATGTTGCGCTCTGGGAGATAGGAACGTACAAGGAGATCCTTCGTTCACAGGTGCTCCAGAATTTGTACTATGCCTCCCGGATTGTGCGTTCAGTAATCAAGTGTTTCTTTGTCTTCATTTTAAGAGTTCAATCGAATTCTGCCTACAAAAATATTGTACACGTTCTTTTAGTATGCTTAAGCAAACTTTCGAGTTCTGCCTTACTAGTACATAGTTCTAAGGGAGTTTTAAAGTAGTCAAAAATATAATGTCGATAGCAGTTGTTTTATTGTGGCATCAAAGTTTGCGCATTATTATTGTGTCAATTCAGAGATAAGCAATTTGTTGGTTGAAAAAGAAAGGCAGCCGATATGTTTTGTATCTGTTGCTCGGTTTTGGAGTCTAACCTTGCACGGTTGACTTCTGTATGTTGTTGCCATGGCGGCCTTTTGAATACGTAATGATAGTAAAGAGTAAAAAGGCCATCGTTTGTTCACGTAGGGGCTGGCTCTGCTGAAATACAAAGTGTTCAGATCTTGCTTTTAACCTTCACTCACAATATCAGTTGACGACATTGTCTCGCATCTAGGCAAAGAAAATATTTGAGTTTCGAGTAGCTGTAAGAGGCTGCAAGTATTATCATTTTTGCTATTTCAACCAGGTTATCTTGTAAATTTAGTGTATCAAGAATCAGTTATTTTTGGTCAGTAAGTTGAGAATCGATTTTCCAGAATTGGTTGCTATGTATTATTGACAGATTGATGATAAAAGAACATTTGAAGTTGTCGCTATGTTTACCAGGGCATCATATAAAACCCCTATATTCACAATATTAAACCTTCAATTACACATGATTTTGCTCTAAGTTCACTTTGCAGTTGTCTTTCCATGCATACAAATCAAAGAGCTGAGCTATTACTGTGTGCAACATTGCCTTTACAGGCACATGAGGGCTAAATATATAGTACTTCTCCTGGAATGTTGTCATTTCTGTGTGAGTTCATTAGCAATTGCAAATTATACTATACTTTTGTTTTGAGGCATTGTACCTGGTATTTAACACGTGCAGAAATCAAGGGAAATAACTTAATTTTGTTTGGTAGATTTAAACAAGGGTACATTTTCAAGAAGTCTTCAAAGGAGATTGGAAGCAAAGATTTTTTTCGTGTTCGGTATTAGAGGGAATTATAATTGAAGAAGGGGAAAACAAAATGTAATTGAATTACATCACAAATTTTGTTACTGCTTATATTTAATGTCCTTGTTGCTGCCAAGTAATATCCGGTGACAATGATCGGTACATTATTAGTACCAGCATGATTTTTAGTCTTATTTTTTAAAAAAATATCTTTGCTTAGATTGTCTATATTAGTATTGGTTTTTTATAGAATAATGATGATGAAATCTTATTATTTATTATTTTACAACAATACTTACTTTAATGTCTGATTGGATTCGACCAACATACAAACCATGAAATTAATACATTTTCTATAGTACTTTTTGTAAGTTGGAAAATTTTATTAACTAGAGATTTTGTAATAAAATAAGATTAAAATCTAAGTTGAATTTAATAAAGTTATTACAACACAAATCTAAAAGATACACATAAATATATAAATTTGAGTAATTTCTTTGATATGATTTTTTTTTTTTGGTTTTTTTGTTTTGGTGGTAATAGTTCACACAAATGATATATATATATATATATATATATATATATATATATTTCAAAAATCCAGTAGAGGCAATAAAGAATAACCTTAAATAAGTCTACCATGACAATAAGGTTTTGCAAGACATGTTACACTGTTATTAATAATTTGTTAAAAAAATCACAACTTGCTATGTATTGTTACATTCTTTTTTTTCTCTATTATTTTAAAATTTTCTTTTATCACAACTAATTATAATTAATATTATAAAAAAGAAAATATAGAATCTTTCCAATACAATTGTCTGTATGATTTTTGTTATTAAGTAGTATAAGCAATTATTTTAATAGACAAGACCTAAAAATCTATGACAATTTGCAAGTAGTTCCTTCCATCAACCAAATTAATATTCTATAGTATTTTGTGATGGTCTGCATTTAGCTCAATATTTAAATATGTATTGTAAGCAAGAATATATTAAATCAACTATTCTAATCAAGTTTTAATTAAGTGTCTATTTCTTTAAATTATTCTTAATAGAATATTAATTGTTTTAATAATGCTATTAAATTATCATTTAAATATTGTGCTTCATACTTAACAAAACCATCATTTAATGTCTTAAGTTCTAATAAGATATTACAATGAAGGAATCTAATACATTCAAATAGACAAACATTATTCAAATAATATTTATAAAAAAATACATTAAATGTGCTAAAAATATTTAAAAGATTCAATCAAAAGTTATGTAATATTAATTATTTTTTAAAAAAAAATAAGTATGAATAATAGTTTAAATATAATTTAGATAATCATATATAGATAGAAAAATATAAAATATATCTCATAAAAAAATAGAAATAACATTGTTTATTGATATTATAATTTTATAATTATTGGATATATCATGCATATTTAAATTTACCTTCAATAAATATCATTACTACTAAAATAAGTCAACTTAGATTATACTAATCAATAAAAATTATACATTATAATAAAAAATAATTGTTTACCTTTATATAATAGTTAAAAAAATATTTGAGAAGGAAAAAAAGAAAAAAGCAAAAAAGAAAAAGAAAACACATACAAACAAATATATACACAACATAACTACTTATAGAAAAATACATCTAATTTATTTATTCTAAATTTTCTAAAATTTATTGATATTATAAAATATCTTTAGATATTATTTGTTGTATTTTTTAAATATCTAAATAATCATCTTATCAAACATATTATTTTTTATAAAACATATTTTAGTTTCTCATTTACAACTATTGCATATATATATATATATATATATATATATATATAATTTATAACAAAATTATTTTATTATAACAATTATTATAGTTATCAAGTTGCATTTGTTCATCTTTTTTAATATAAACAGAAAGTATTTTACTGCATAAGATAATATAAAATAATGTAGTTAAAGTTATTGTTATTATTGAATAAAAGTTCAACTAATTCTCACTTCTATTCTTTGAACAACTAAACATTATGCATCTTTTTTTTTTAAAATTAAGCAATGTTGCTCTAAAAACTTTCTTCATAAGACCATAGATAGGCTTATTTTATAATAAAAAATACTACTATGATAATATAAATTATTTAAATAATTTATCTTTTACTTTATAAATAAATTAAATTTAAATATTACTAGTTGAATATTTAATTTATATATTAATAAAATTTACTATGTCTATTAACATATTTTTTTATTTTTATCAAATTATTATTTTTAAAATAATAGATAAATAAATAGTTTTAAATATATTTAAAAAATTAAAAATAATTTAAAAAATAAAAACTAAAAAAATATGATGTTAATTTTTTAAATTGATAACTTATATTTTTACTAAATTTTAAATATATATATATATATATATATATATATAATAAATTTGACATGATTATATGTATATATATGAATAAGAATCAAATAAATATATTATTCATAATTTTTTATTATTATTATTATTATTATAATATAGATATATAGAAGAATGTTAAATAGACTTATTTTTTTACCAAATCGATCCATCCTATTTTAACCATCATTAGAATCATGGCCATCATCTCCACCCTCTTATTTCCAATGTTTGCTCTTTCCATTTCTAACCCCTCCTCCCTTCTCTCATCCCTCCCTCTCGCTTCTCCTTAGTAATTGAACTTGGACAAAATGACTCTACATTAAAGTTTTAAATCTGTAACTTGTATTTGTGTTTTTGAGTATGAAGAACATAGAAGGAATCAAGTTTAGCAAAATAGAGCAGAATTGCATGATTGGCCATGGCACTTCCATCACTCTCCGAGAACACTGCTTCTTCTTGAGCGATTCCTATGTAATGTTGGTATGCTCATGTTGTTGGTATTCCTTTTGTTACACTAATCCATCTTGCCAATATTCTTTGAAAAATTGTTGCACTAGAAAACACATCGTCCAGATCTAAATCCCTTATTCTTATAAATTGTTATGACAAAAGCTTCTCAACATAGACATCATTCTCTTCCTACAAACAAAACTCTCATGAATTGAGTACACACATACATATACTTCATAAAAATCAAGTTTGCAATGCCACAAGCTAGAAATCATATCTAATAATGTCCAATTAGCCACAATATTTACTTGTATTTTTCTCTCTCTTTATCTAGAAATATTACTTGAAGCTTAAGGGAGGTGGGAAGCATATCAAAATGTCTTCTTTTACATACTTTCGGTAAGTTGTCTAAAGAACATATTTGAATACAAAACAGGTTACCAAGTGCAAGCTCTTGAACTCAACAATAAAGAAACAACAATATTATTGAAATTGTTCAAACATAACCCTTTAAAGAACAATTCACATAATTGGTAAAACAATGCTTGTAAGATCTCACGATTTATTGAGAATAATTCAAAAGCAACATCAACAAGCTGGATGACAAATCCGTACTATTATATCTCTTGAATAAAAATAAAAAAAATTGTCACTTCATATTACAAGAGACCTCACCTATCTATACAATTAGTAAGCCCAATAATAATGGTACAAAATATTAACAATACACTTGTGAAGAGAAAAGCTTCTCAAAAGGAAAAAAATCTTGCAAATTTCTTGTCATCCAAATACAATAAACAATTTTGTGGCTTCTCTATTCTTCCATCACCAATTCATTATAAATTCCTTTTTTTTTTTTTTTTTTTTTTTTTTTCTCTCTCTCTCTCCCTTCTCCAACCAAAATCAACTTCACAAACAATGTGGATTGCAAACTTTGCACCACCCTTGGATTTACAAATTATATTCGTATTTTTAGTTCAAACAAAATTATCAAAAGAAACAATGTTACAATGCCTTGTCAATAAAGACTTTCATAAGTATGTAATTGTGTTCATCTTGATTAAGCGGATTGCATGGTGAAGATGTTCTATGCTCTATAGGTTTGTAGTGAGGTAAATGTGCATGAGATGATAAATTCAAAACTTTTCATGCATATACACATGTATAAATAAAACTTACATATTAGAATTTAATATTTAAAAATTATCAAAGATATCCATGATTAATAAATAATACTATAATGGTAGAAAATAACTATATAAAATATATAGGTAGTTATACAATAAATTCATGTCAAAATACCTCATAGTAGTTATAGTTTATAATTTATATTTAAAAATAATCCAATTAAATACTAAAAAATGGAATTATCAATAATTTTTTACAAAATTAAATTTCTTTTTTTCCTAAAGAAAATAGCAGCTAAAATGCTTTTTATTTACTACTATCAAACCTATAGAGATGAATATATATAGAGAAATGTTAAATAGATCCACCTTTTTACTATATCAACCTATCCTATCTTAACCATCATTAGAATTGTGGCCATCATCTCCACCCTCTTGTTTGCAACCTCTATTCTTAGCCTCTAAATAAATAAAAATCAGTTGAATATTTTTAATATTTTTTTGGAAGTATAATACTTTGGAGAAGATAAAATTACTCGGACATGCATGTTACATACAAAAGTATAAATGCATGTTATATCTAACATATTCAGATGCATTTATACTTTTGTATGTAACTAAGCATAATTTTAGATTTCAGCTTTTGATCAATCTTTCTAATATCATATCAAACACATTGATTGTATCACTTTCTGTTATGCAAATTTTCCTATTGTGGTATATAGTGTTTAATCATAGAACAATATTACAATTTTAAATTAATTAACTTATTTTTTTTTACAAATCCTCAAAATTTACATTGGTAATGAAATAGGTTATTTATGACTTTCTGTTGTATGTTTTAATTTTAATGAATCACACCTCATTTGTTATTTTATCATTGGAATAAAAGAATACTACAATGATTGAATTGAAAATACATAATTTTTACAGATACTTTCTACAGAAATAATCTGTGCCACAAAACACAAATTCAAACCCTTTGATTAGTGATACTACCATGATTCTAATACCTGATTGATTGTTATTTGCATTAAGATATAGTTTATTAAAAGCATTTTTTAGGCCCATGTGAGAGTGTGTGCATGTATTGTTTATTTAGTTTAAATTTTTCTATCAAATAAAATAAAACATGTTGACAGAAAGATCTTCATAACAATTGAGTCAAAAAAGTGAACAAATAAAAATGAACAATTCAAAACTTTACTTTACCCAAAAATAACAAACATGACAGTAAAATACTTTACTTTAACAAGAGACAATTCATGTAACGGTTTGATGCAAATAAAACTTTACAATACACAATTCATAGAAAAGGTACAAAAGAAAAAAAAAAAATTATCATACTTCAATGATGTGCAATGCATTCACATGATTGATGATTGCATAATATTATATCAATGACATAAAGACAAGCACTCATATAATCAATTCAGCCCTCACATCTTTAAGCAACACTATATTGAACAAAGTATTAAAAAATATTCACTTTCAAAAAAAGAAAAAAGAAGAAACAGCGTCAAAAAATATTAGACTTAGATCAGCTCTCAATAACATGAGCCTTTTCAAAATTTCATCACAAGAAGTTCTAAATAAGTCCTCATCACCCAACAAAAACGACAAACCCATAACCCAAGCATTCAACCAAACACCAGGAAATTAAACCCCATTCATTTCCAAAGCAAGGCACCAACCATTAAATCTCAAGGTCCATCATCAGTAACAACAAAATGAAACACAAAAAGGAACACAGAAACAGATGAAATCCTCCCCAAAAATCACACACCAACTACATTCCCTGTGCTTACAATCAAGGTCCATTGCAATCGCAAATTCACATTAAGAACGTCGTCGTAACCAGTTTCATTGTGACGCAGTCATGTATTACAGATACATAAATCAGTGTATTTGTCATACAACACATGTATTACATGTATTGCAAGAGGTGTAGTGTATTATATATATATATATATATATATATATATATAAAGTAGGAATTTTAAGATAGAAAAAACACACACTGAGCTCAGACTCACCGGTGTCCAGACTGGAGCTGGTGCTGCCTCTGTTGCAGCGGCAGCATCGTCACACGTTGGGCACTGCGTTGTTGCTGGTGGGCAAAGGACCAGCGGCACATGACAGACAGTCTGATCAACGAGAACACCACCACCATCAACAACAACAGTGTCTCAGATCACGAAGCGATGGCGATGGCGATGGCAATAATGCGAGGACGCGATGTGCTGGGCCGTCAAAACAAAAAGCGGCGATGGGGTTTGGACCATCACCTCACGCTTGTGAGCCCACAGCGCCCATCATCACAGCGTGCGCGGATATCAGTAAGTACAAGGTGAACCACACAGCGTGACGCGCGGAGTGATGAGGTGGATGAGGAAGAAAAGGATTCACGAGGTGGATTTTATTGAAGCTGGTAGGACAAATTGACTAGGAAAATGGAGGGCCCTAAATTATTGCCTTCACCTCGTGGTCCTTCAAGAATCTGGGTACACTATTCTACCGATTGTTTTCTCTCTAGCTCCGATGCTATACACTCGAGAACAAGGAAGCAGCAGCGTGAGACTGATCTATAGTTGCACGCATGGTGTCGCTGCCGGTAATGCCACAATGAAAGCAGAAAATCTGTATGTTTCTCTCTCTCTCTCTCTCTCTCTCTCTCTCTCACTCTCAGTCTATGATTCAAAGCACATTCTCATTCTCGTAAATTGCAATCAATATTGGTAACTATTTCGATAATGACTTCTGGCATATCGATTGCGGAGAGGGCGAGTCCCAAATCTCCCACTGCGATTGAAACTCCTGCATCTCGCGTGTGCATTCCGCGACTGTCCTTGACTGGAAGTTCGGAATCCCCTCTGAAGAATTAAGGTGTCTTTTGTACACATTGTCGGCGATCTCTCGCCAATTCGCCGCCCACGGCTGCCGTCCGTCGCACACCGTGACCCGATTGCCCTCGACGCCGGGCCAGTCCCAGTCACGCATGCAGCCGTCGACGATTGTTGCCGAGAAGGTCGCGTTCGCCTCCTTGTCGCATGGCCTGCAGTACGTCCCGCTCATGGGTCCTTCGGAAGCCATGGACAGCATGAGCAGGCCATACGGCGGAGGTGGGTACATCTCATTCCGCAGCGTCATGATGCAGAACGGGATCTGGATGCGCTTCCATGCCACACCCGAGATTTGGAACTGGGCCTTGTAAGCCGATTCCGAGTTCAGGCCGCGGTAGCCAGCCTTGTGCATTTGTGGAAGCAAGCTCAACCGCATATTCGCTGCACGGCTGGTGTGCGGGGAACCCATTCCGAAACGGTCATTGAGCCCATGGAAATCGTTCCCAGCCGCGACGTAGTAATAGTTCGGATCCAGCTGACCGATTTCCGGTAAACGGCTGCTCCAGAACCCATCCACGCGCGTGCGAATGATCCAATCGTATTTGAACTTGTGCTTCACCTCGTACTGCTTCACCATTCCGTAGCAGCCCTCCACGAGGTTGAAGTACTGGAGGAGCCCCTGCATCCCGTGCGGAGACCCCCATGCGGTGATCAGCTCATTGGTAATTCTCGACTCGGGGAGAACCGAGGGGACGAATATCTTGGCAGCGCGGAGGTTGCCACCCCTGAGGTGGGAGAACTTGTGGCTATCTTTGTCAAGAGGCGAGTGGAGAAAGACGTCCGTGTTGTTGTAAACGTCCAATAGGTGCTTGCGGAGTGTGCGCCCGGTGATCTCGAACATCCGAGCCCCGCCCACTAAACAGACGGCAATGCGGCGCTCGCCGTTGACAGGTATCGTCGACTCATTTCCCTCTTCGATACGCGGGAAGTCGGCATTCACTATAGAGGATCTGCAACCGAGGAAACTCCCACAACTCTCTGGATCCAGATACAGATAGTAGCCGTAGGTTGCAAGCCCTACCACTAGCATGACCGTCCATGGCAACCACAAGCGTAGCTTCAGATCCATTCCCCTGCATTCACTCTATCTCTGAATCTTACTCCGCTGTCTCAGCATGGTCCAACCTAGAAAATCGCAAATTCCATCAAACACCACCCTGGTCAGTCGTGCAGACCGAAGAGCGTTCCAGACTTGATTACAGACTAAACTGACGATTTGGTTGGATTCAACAGCACAAAGATATCCCTATCCTCCATGTAGAGCGACCGGAACTATTCCAATTTACCCTTCACTCCTTTTTTTGCTCTTAGAATCCTCAACTGAGCTCGCACGACCTAACTCCTTCACTGATTCGTGAACGGTACATTGCGAAGTGTCGTTCAATGTGGCATGTGCATATCTTACTTCGGTGAGAGCTGCTCCATCGAAGTCCCTATCAGTGAGCTGGCTCTGATTCTCAGAAGCCACATGGTAATATAGCTAGCGAACACAAATGCCTATGATACACTCTTCTACTCTCCATTAAAACTCCGATCAACCTCCCGAGCGTCAAAATCTACTGCTACAAACCTGATTACTCGAATCCAGTCTCGGAGGTAATTCAGCCAAGGTAAATAGGCTGCTAACCGTCAATCTGGTCACTATTCGCGATCACTGCGATTGTCATAATAACAGCCTCTTCCACATAATGCACTCAACAAAATCCATGTCAAGGATTCAATGGCGCATCTAGAATTGACAAGGTTCAAAGTGGAGCACAACAAAATGATCTACTCCGGAGCGGTCTGCACACACAAGGGTACTGGACGATGTACAAGATGGGGCTGTAAAGCCTCCGTATTAAATTGCCCTCTTACAGGGATAATAACCGGTACCCTATTTCCATCTGACCATGAGTCGCAGCGACATAGGAAGAATGAGTTCTAACCAATTGACTGAAGCTTGTAAATAGCGCCTCGATCGAACCAATGTCCAGTAACCATACACGCAGTGCCAAATACTTCGACAGAGACTCCTACAGAATTATTGCTGGAAAGAAGAGAATGTTTGGACTGTCCATGCTGGTCAGTTCAAATAATTGGAGCTGACAAGGCCCTCGTCAATCACTCGAGCTGTGACACATCACCACTGGTAGCGCTTCCTCGCTACTCTGAAGTTCAGACAAGTCGTATGGCTCCAAAGATCATTGCAGTGTTGTGTCTAAGCTGAGATCTTTAAAGTAGTTTCAATGCCTATGAGGGTCGAGGCTCTACAATCTATACTACGTGTGTTGAGGCAGGAAGACGATCAGGGTAAATAGAAAGGAAATATACTGGTTCATCAACACAAGCTCAGATTGATGCACGGGATGATTTCAAATTGACTGATTCACTGTTACCGCACAGGATGTGCTCTGATTGCAGGAAAGAGAAGGTTGCTGAGGACACTGCGAACCATGAAAATACAATTCTCCATTCAACGTCCAGGTTGTATTAGCGATAGTTCCGTGCGCTAGCAGTAGCCAGTCGAGCACCAGAGCCATACTCCACTAAAAAAGAAACTAGATTGCACCCACTTTGTGTGATACTCTAACTCCACAGCAGAGCACAAAACAAGGCCCAGACGCCAGATAGGCCACAACCCTCAAAGAACACTCGAATCTAGAGTCCATCTCGGTTTCTGTCACGCGTTTCTTACAAACCATCTACGCGCAAACCCCCCTCTCCCATCGAAATTGATCAGGACCAAGTCTACGCTGAAGAGAGCAGAAAGAAGAATAACAAGACAACTCAAAATGGAAAATCGAAAAAAAGCTATGAGGCCGCACCTTCATCGCTCACCATGCGGCGACGAGCATCATCTGACAACAACCAACATCACCCCCGATGTATTAAACGGCGAGTTCAGAGGCGCAGGCACAAATCACTGGCCCCGAAAGATGTTCATCACGCGACAACAATCGCAGACGATGTAGAGAAAAAAAAAGAGTAAGAAAACAAAAAAAAACAGTAGCTCCTCCAACCGAGAGAACGAGGCGAGGGACTACAAAATTAGAAGAAGATGACTCCAGGAGCAATTCGTGCAGACCTGGAACCTGTCCAAGTTCGCCTACTACATCACCACCGAGCTACCCTGTAGCACCGTGATCCAGGAAAATCCGTGCCCTTCCGACGAGCCAAAGGAAACTATGTTTACCCCGTTTCAAAGGTAGGAGTAAATTGCTTTGCCCATTGTGTTGCAGCATGGACAGGTTTCTAACTACGCTTTGGATGACTAGTCTCTGCGGGAAAGCTGACTTCTTGTCAGGCCTCCACGCTCCCATATCTTGTACATGTCCCTCTAGAGCCACATACACATACACACATGGACCGACACTCAGCCATCCATCAATCCTGCAGCGAGGACGTCCCACACACTCGCAGCCTAACTCGCTGCCTTCGTCGCGATGAAGCGTTACTTGTTTGCGAGCTTTCAACGATTACGAGACGCGTCGCGTTTCCTCCTTCTCTCTGCTTCTTGACTAATACCCCCCCCCCCATCTTTCATTTTTACACTTTTTAATGTTGTTATTTACTCAAAAGTCTTGTAATTCCTAAAAGAGGGTACCTTAGATTATTTCCATCCTTTTTCATTAATGGATGAAATGAGTGATAATTATGCCCTTCTACACACACACGTACACATGTATTATATTTTGTAACTTACGATTAGGGGTGGTACATTTAAAATATATATATATATTTATATTTATATTTATATTTAGAGAAATTGTGCAAAAACATTAACTCATGCATAGATAATGTAATTAGTTGAGTTTACTTATACAAATCCACGTATATAATTTGGCATGCATCATACATACCTTAGTAATAATAATAATAATAATTGCTCAATTTTTCCAACAAAGTGCTCCATGGTGTGGATGAGTTTCAAAGCCCACTCCACACCTTAATGTTGATCACACCAACGAAACAAAAAAGAGGCCAAAATCATCCCCCCCTCCCAGGAAAAAATCCCATAATGCTACTCCTCACATCCTTTTTCGGACCCAGTGGTAAAGCGGATCGAAACAAAACATAACAAAACTAGTGAATACGTGTCACGAAGGAGTCCACGCGGCAGACTCAGACCGGCCCCATCCCTTGCGCCAGCGCACAGCCACAACCGACCTAGCTGGCACTTTTCCGCCACGTCGGAATTGTCTGACGTGGACGAAGACCCTTTAGGGTTTCATACGCGACCACACAACACCGGAATCGCGGCAAGTGCTGCAGAATCGCTGCGTAGCGAGCGGCCCGAAGACCTTAATCGCCGAATCAAGAGACCCCTTTGGTCACGTCAACAAACCCCCTTCTCCACTTTGAATACTCAATCAAGTCTCGTGCATCGTATGTCTCTGTGTATGTGTCAAATCAATAGGGGGCTCGCAGTTTAGCTTAGTTCCTGTTTTCCCTCAAATCGAACCTTATCGCAGCATTTTGCCGTCGTCAAGGTCAACTTGCGATCCCACGGAAACGCAACCCCCCAAGGATCAATTCCAGCATATTCTGTGAAGCAGAGTTTCGTGATCTTACAGCGTTGCTCCTAGTGTAATTTCAAAGTATTTGCACTTTTAATTAATTACACTCAGAGTATAAATTGCAAATACTTTGCAAATCCGAGTATAAATAATTTCAAAGTATTTGCAATTCAAGTTTGTACACTTTATCCAATCTCGAGGGATGTTTTCTATAATTTTGTCATTGGTTGCGTTTGAACACCTATCCCTATTTTTTTTTTTTAAATGATTTGACATGCTATGATTGTTTGTAACATACAACATCAAATTCTAAATCATGGATTAGTTTGGAAATGAATTCTACTACCAATATAACAATTATATGTACTTTTAGTTGTTGTGCATAATTTGGATGATTTATTGTGTGATTATTGGACATGGATAAATTGCTTTAAACAGTACTATTATAAAAACACAACATTTTATAAGATTATTTTATTGTCTGTTTTTTATTTTTAAATCACTATCTTTGTTATGTTCTTTTTAGATGTGTCTTTTTTCATAATTTTTCACTTGATTTTTTAGATGTTGCAATGCATGTTGTACATTATTTAATTAAAAGAAACCTATACACCATGTCAAGTTTATCAAACTGTTAAATAAGTTGAAAAAATGCCTAAAAAAATTTCAAACAAATTTTATTTTGAATCATAAAATAAATAAGATAGTCCAGATATGCAAGAATTTAGATTTTAGAATTTGAAATCTTAATCAAAGTTAGCTTGCATAATATATGATAAATTTAACTTAATAGTATTTTATTTTATAAGAAAACATTCATATATATATATATATATATATATGTGTGTGCATTTTGATTGTGGAAACAAATTTGTTGTATAAATATACAAAAACAATATAAAAGAAGTTTCAATAATTCCAAATGGTTTAAATATCAAATAAAAATCCATTTTTTGAAAAAATGTAATGATATTTATAATTTAATTTTCTATTACTTGTCTAAGATATTTATATTGTTAATTTATAAAAAAACATATAAATTATTTAGATATATTTTTTAAAAATTGACATTAATGAAGTTTTTTTTATGTAGATTAAATATGTAGCTATATTTTAATTTGCAATGTTACTATGATATCAAACCTTGTGGTTCTTAAGAAGCTTCTACATGGCCTTGATGCTAACAAGGACATATGAAAGCAAGATTGATTCTACCTCAATCTTGTATTATTTTAAAAACAAAACAGTTACATGTTGCTCAAAAGAAATAAAATAATTGAAACATTTAATGTTATTTTTTTAATAACTTATGTCATTTACATACATTTAATTTTTTTCAAGAATGATTCTTACTAGTATTCAAATCAACCATAACCAAAAATGAAATGTAAAAAAATCTTGATGAACATAATAATAATTAGATTCTTCTTATTGTGTGCAAGTGTGTTCCACATAATTCGAAATGAATGTTGTATCAAAGATTGCATGAAAACATCAACACTGGGAAATTGGATTCTATGGTTATTTTAAACCAATCTTTCATGTAGATTCAGTAAGTTGAAAAGAAGAACAAAGAGAGAATATACATATATATATATATATATATATATATATACGTATATATATTGAAGATGTTAAAGATTCCAATTCATGTAATATATATATATATATATATATATATTTATATTAATCAAAACATCTGTTTACTAAAAAAAATTAACATATTGCATGTTAGATAAAAGGTATATATTTTACAAGTTTCAAATTGAGAAAATTATTGTGTTGTGTAAAAATGTGTATTGGATATATGTGTAAAAATTATAAAAGGAAATTTATACATATATTCTCAAAATATATATATATATATATATATATATATATGCACGCACTAGTTTTGAATATTTTGTTCATTAACATTTGAGTATTTTGTTTATTTAAATTTAAATACTTTGAACACATATAATTGTACTGCTGTAAAAAAACAATTGTTTCACTTAAACTATTCACATGTGCACAATAGCCTCTTTTTTTGTTTTCCTTAATGTTTTTTTTTTTTTTTTTTTTTTTTTTTTTTGCAAAGTATCAAATATGTTATTCTGAACAAAACTGTTGTAAAATGATATAGTATTCGTTTAAAAAATTTCAAAGAATCTTGTGAAAAACCTTCCATAAAAATCTTCTAATGTTATATAACTTTGTGATACCAAAATAAAAATAAAAATAATAAATCAATTTTCTCATTCAGATGTAACTTCTTAATTTAGAAGTTTACGTTTCAAAGAAGAATTTAAGATAATTTCACAATTCTATATATATATATATATATATATATATATGTTTGTCACAGTAAATTTTAAAAATTACTTGACCCAACTTACATTTTTTCAGCATCATTTTTAAGTTTCACTTGCTAACTTCCATATTCTGGCTTCTTTTGTGCAAAACATTAAAAACTTCTACAACATTTATGATAAGGCTCAGACGCTTTCTTCATGTATTACAATCTTACACTGACATTTAATTGAAAAAATATATGCATTTTGTTCGTCATTTTGAAATCATGTTTTAAATTTTTTATTTTACATTATTATTAAATAACTTAAAATTTCAAGTGATTATCATGTTTCGATATTAATCAAATTTCAGTTAATTTCAATGTTGACAACACCAACAACATGCCTACAATCGTTTTTAAATGTAATCATATAAATATATTAATACACTATACTTTTTAATTGACATTTTTATATTTACAATAATAAATAAATAAATAAACACACACACAAAACCTGTGTGGTGGTCACTGCAAGGTCAAAAGCATTGGATCTCCACCAATTTACATTTCCACCTATAAAAGTACATTATCATCTGGACATAGCTAACAAAAATTAAAAATAAAATAAATGATTGAAGAAGGAAATTGTGTGTGTGAATTCGCAAGTAAATGTATATGTAGGTTACATTTGCATCAGGGTTTCTAGTAGATTTTTTTTTCCAACATATATATATATATATATATAGGATCAAGGTTTATATCTTTGTAAGGTCTTCCTAACTCCCATTATCACCTTATCTACTCTTCATATATATATATATATATACATATCCATTTTAAATATATATGTTGATGTTATTTATAAATAATAAATAAAAAAATGTATTCTGACGTGTTGGTTATGTTTACATTATACATCAGAGCACACCCATCTGATTATTATTATTATTATTGTTACTATTCCAATGAATAGAACCGAGTAAAATAAACCACACTTCTCCACAAAAAGTAACTGACAAACACCAAACGAATCACCACCCTCCAGATCCATCGAAAAAGTAAGACCAAAAGCAAACGGCAGCGGAGGAAAAGTAAAAGCGAGCGGGGGCTACATCCAAAAAGTAAGAAACCAAAAAGTAAACACCATCGCAATAAAGTAAAAAAGCGAGGCCTCAAAAAGTAATAACAAAAACGCAAAAGGCATAGAATAAAGTAAAAAGTAATAGAGAGAGAGTGAGAGCGGGATGCCTGGGACCAGGTTTAGGTTTAAAGCCTGGACCGCGAAAGCATTAATTTTTTGCGCGACTCGACGGGAAAACTCGGCAAAATTCGCGATTAATTGATGCGCGGTGCTCTCGCGTGCGGGAGGGGAGGGGACGGGGGATTGATTGACTGTGTCATTCTAACTGAAGTTCGTCGTAGTCGGTCAAGCATGAGAAAATTGACGGCATAGCAGAAGATCTCTTGCAGTCGAAGGAAGAATGGAAGCTGCTGCTTCGCTTTTCCTCCGTTTTGCATGCGCTCCACCCAAACCCTAATTACATCGAGGTGTCCATGGAAGCTAGACCAGGCGTGAGCTGGGTTGTACAGATTTCGCCGATTAGGTGTGTGATGAATGCATCAGTGTAGGCGAGGTTAGGACGAAGAAGAGGCGAGGGGCTTCGGCTACAGCAACCATGGGCGTACCAGCGGAAGGGAAGATTGTGAAGCAGGTGGAGCTTTACAAGCGGAGATCGTCGATGTGGCGATTGGATGTGTGGCCGTTTCTGGGATTGTATGGGTTTTGGGCTGTTGGGATCGCGACTCGCCTCGATTCCACTGATGCTGGGATCGTGCTGGCCGGTACCGTTGTTTTGCACATTCTGGCGTTCCTGTTCTCGGTTTGGTCTGTAGATTTTCGCTGCTTCTCACAGGCTAGTAAGGTGCGATTTCTTGCCCCACCCAAGGGTTTGGGTGTTTTATTCGGGTATTTATGAATTGGGGCAAAATCAGATTTAAATTTCGTTTTTGAATTTTGGGTGTTTTTTTTCGGAGTTGATTGGGGAGCTTAGGTTTTGAAAATCCTACTGCAATCGAGTGGCAGGTGACAGACATTCATCAGGCAGATTTTTGCAAGGTTATCCCAGCAAAGTTTTCGGGTTCAAAGGAAGTCGTGCCCTTGCAGTTGAGGAAATTGGTAAAGTTCTGATGCTATCCTGCTATTAAAATCACTAACAGTGAGACGTTGGAGTAGTTCTGGTTCTGATCAATCGTATACACATGGGTTCTTATTGGAGTAGTCAATTTTCACATATGGCAATATCAATTATTTGTTCTAATGCTTATTTTTATTTTGCTAAACTAATCATCGATTACCACAACACGCAGGGTGCACTTATCATATCAACTTACCTTAGTCAGTCACTGTCAATTCTGCATTGGTCTTGATGGATTTTAGATATGTTTCCGTAAGGGTTGGTGCTTTGGACCTGATGCTCGTCGGAGTCGGTTTTATGCTGCAGGTTGCTGGTGAGAAACGTTCTGGAGGTCGAAATTATGGCGTTGCCTCCAACCTCCCAGCCGATTCTGAGGAAATTGGATTTGACTTTAGGAAACAACACTTTATTTACTCTAAAGAGCTTAAAAAGTTCTGCAAGCTGGATTATCCAACGAAAGATACGTTTCGAACGTACATGAAAAACACGGGTTATGGTAGTGAAGCAAAAGCACTGGCTGCCACGGAGAAGTGGGGTAAAAACATGTACGTATGCTCATTTCTAATCTGTCTTCTTTTGGTGGTCTGTATAGTTTGCTTCCTAAAAGGCTTGGAGCTCTGCCTTCACCCTTAGTTTTTTACTGATTTAATATCGATATTAATTTAACTTGAACCACAAAGTTCTCAACTCTTCCATATTGATAATGTCAATGAGGTTTGCCAGTTATGTCGTAGTCTGCTGTTTTGCAGTAAATTACATCTATAATGGGTTCTGCATTGGACCTCTTTGTGCTGACAAGGATGTATATTGTTACCATTGAGAAATTGCATACACGTCCCATCAACATGTCTGTTTTTATCATTCTACACGTAGAGATTGCAAAGCATGAGCTGCACTCTATCTCAGAATTTTTGCAAACTGAAGTATATAGGGCCGTGCTTGGGTGGATTCACCAATTCAACTTAAGATTATTGATGTGTATGAATAGGTTTGAATTTCCACAGCCAACTTTTCAAAAGTTAATGAAGGAGCACTGCATGGAGCCATTTTTTGTCTTCCAGGTTAGAATTCAGCTCTCTATTGCATTCCTGTACTCACATGCTTTATCTGTAGGTTGGAGGTGCGAGAATACTTAAGAATGTCAACCTAAATATTTTTACATAGCATAACATAATGAGCTTTAACTGGTAGTTGGTGGGTGCCTTCCATGCGCTCAAGCCGCTTCATGTTGTATGTTTAATCAAGGGGGATTTAACTGTGTAATCAATTGGTTTGAAACTTGCAGGTATTTTGTGTCGGTCTATGGTGCCTTGATGATTACTGGTATTACAGCCTTTTCACTCTCTTCATGCTTGTTCTCTTCGAGTCTACCGTCGTCAAGAGCAGGATTCGAACCCTGAGTGAGCTGCGAAGAGTTCGAGTCGATACTCAGATACTAATGGTCCATCGTGGTGGAAAGTAAGCTTCTCACAATTTGTTTTTGTCTTCGATGGTTGTTTTGATGTGATAGTCATGTCATGTGGCGTATTATTCGTTGTGAACTAATCAAGGCCTTGTTTATCACAGGTGGGTTAAGTTATCAGGAGTGGATCTTATTCCTGGAGATGTGGTTTCAATTGGTCGACCCGTTGGGGTTGGCAGCGAGGAGCGAACAGTGCCTGCTGACATGCTACTAATTGCTGGTAGTGTAATTGCGAATGAAGCTCTACTGACTGGAGAGTCTACTCCACAATGGAAAGTAAGCACTAAATTCTGAGTATCGACAGCTTGTGTTTGGAAACCTCTTCATTAAGATGAGTGTCATACACTAACAAGTACTACGTGTGTAGGTTTCTTTAATGCAAATAAATAAAATAAGATGGTTCTGTATATGGAGAAAGAATGCGTGGTGCACTTTTCTTTTCCAAAAATAGTATTTATACTTGAGTTTCTTCTGTGCAGGGTTCCATTAGTAGTCGGGAGCCAGATGAAAGGTTGTCAATACGACGGGATAAAAACCATGTTCTTTTTGGGGGTACGAAGATATTACAACACTCACCAGACAAGGTGGATAGTTGTAACTTTAACATTTTCTCTTTTGCATAAGTAGCATGTATTTTTTTTTATCACTGAAGTGTTTGTCAATATGATTTTATATTTGACGATCCGTTACAGATTGAAGACGATTTGATCTTGTTTTGTAAACAAATTGTAAGTAATTGATGTTAGTTATTATGTTATGTGAGGATGCTTCTTATTCTAGTGCTTTGCATACAATTTAATGCAGTCAGGTACTCTGAAGGCGCCGGATGGAGGTTGTATCGCGATTGTATTAAGAACAGGATTTGAGACCAGTCAAGGGAAACTTATGCGTACTATTCTTTTCTCTACAGAGCGGGTAATTTCCATTGCTTCTAAATTTCGTGTACTGTAGAAGCTTTACTGTCCTAAATTTTGAAACAAGATACCAATTATGGGTTAGCTCTGATCATGTATTTGCACCTGTGTTCATAGGTGTCTGCAAATAACTGGGAAAGTGGAGTTTTCATCCTCTTTCTGGTGTTTTTCGCTTTGGTTGCCGCCGGTTATGTGTTGAAAAAGGTGATTATATCAGATCTAATCTTATCTTACTGGTACTGATTTGATACTGTTTTGGTGAAAAGTAATGTTTCTTTCTTGTTTGGTATGTGCAATACAATTTCAATAATGAATTCGGAAGGAAGAATGCTTATTCTCAGTGTTGGCGTGGATTCTTAATATTTTCCATATAATCTAACAATGTTTGGTTTGTGTAGGGGTTGGAGGATCCAACCAGGAGTAAGTATAAGCTGTTGCTTAATTGCTCTCTCATTATCACTTCAGTGATTCCTCCAGAATTACCCATGGAGCTTTCCATAGCTGTCAACACTTCTCTCATTGCGCTAGCTCGCAAAGGCATATATTGCACTGAGCCATTCCGTATCCCATTTGGTGGCAAGGTTTGTTTGCTCTTCTGAAAGACAAAATCTTGTATTTAGTGAACCTTGTAAAATAATGTTGATATTTTTAAAGAATTCTGAGAGAGTCTTGTTGAATTATGTACAGAGTTGTATTTCTACAATCCTTTAGTACTTATGAATTTGCTTCAGGTGGACTTAGATATGACTTGGAGACACGGTCGTGAGATTTACTTGCAATTTTTTTGATGCACATTCCTACTTAACTTGGTAGGTGGGGTTGTTGACAGGTGGACGTATGCTGCTTCGACAAAACTGGTACATTGACCAGCGATGATATGGTAATTTATATTTCAATTTGTACATGTTTGTAGCTGAGTCTACTTTGACTTCATTGTCCTACTATTTTGGCAACTCTACATGAACATAATAAACCTATGTGTGTCAGGATATCTGAAGTTGAACAATACCATTACCTCATATTTCTTTTCTTGCGACAGGAATTCCGAGGAGTAGTCAGCGCAGATGGGAACCAAAATTTGGAGACTCAGCCTAGCAAGTTATCAGCTATAACGATGCAAATTCTAGCTGCGTGCCATGCTCTGGTATTTGTAGACGGCAAGACGGTAAGCCCTTATTTCATTTTCCCCTTGTCCTAGAATGTACCGAATGCGAAAAGCTTTTTATGGTGCGGAGTCCTCCGAATATGTGCTAGAGTTACGTAATGTATGGCAATTGCCTGATGTATGACGTGGAACAACAGGTTGGTGATCCATTAGAGAAGGCAGCACTGAAAGGCATCGACTGGATTTACACCGCTGAAGAGAGGGCTATTACTCGCAAGTAAGTAAAGGCATGACTTTAGTTTTCAATCAAACACGGTTGCCTCTGGATTCCGATGTCTTCTACACCCAATTGTTTAGAGAAGTCTTTCAATTTGCTTAGAAGTGCGTAGTTCAAGTAGCTACATTGGTGGGTTACTTGGGGTCTCTATTGAAAACTTTCATTTCATATTTCAGCTTTTTATTTAATTGATCATTATGTGCCATCGTTAAATTCAGGGGAACAGGACAGCCAGTCCAAATTATCCAGCGGCATCATTTTGCGTCGCATCTGAAACGCATGGCCGTTGTTGCAAGGATTGAGGAAAAATTTGTAGCTCTCGTTAAGGTAACTTCTGTAACTTGAGGTCTCAATGGGGTCTATTTGACACCCTCTAATTACTCAAACTGTTTGAATAAGCTGTGAGAAATATACGTAGTACGAGATATCTTCACAGGTGTTATCGGCAATGTCTTTTATGTGAGTTTCTGTTTTGCATCGCAGGGTTTGTAGCATCTCTTTTTAGGTCGCTATCTTGATTTTTAATTTTGATTTTTGCATTTCTGTTGCAGGGTGCTCCAGAAACAATACAGGAGAGGTTGACCAATGTCCCTAATGACTATGTGGAAACATACAAGCAATATACTCGTCAAGGGTCTCGTGTGCTTGCTCTGGCATACAAATCTCTACCGGAGATGGCAGTAAGTTTACATTCATTTTCAGACGATCTACAGAGCTATCGTTCTGGTCACACGAGCGTTTTTGTGTTCTATCTGAAGTGAAGTTTGTTAAGTGGAACAGGTTGGATTTTGAGCCAAGTACCAGGCTCCAATAGAAAGCATGTATTCGTCCTTATGCTGGTTTGATTTGTTTGAATTATAGGTTGGTGAGGCTCGGGGTTTGGATCGCGAAAGTGTGGAGAATGATTTGACGTTCGCGGGGTTTGCGGTACATTTTCTACACACCATTGAAACCGATGGGAGTGATTTTCAGATGCTTATCATTTCGAGGAGGTTTTCCTAGATATCAACTGTCTGGTAGGAAGTTTTGGTTTTTAATTATCAGAACGTTTATTCATCTTAAGGATGTTTATTACTGTGAGCTAAATTTGAGACTGTGATATGCAGGTATTTGCATGTCCGTTACGTCATGATTCTGCTGAAGTACTCATGGAGCTCAAGAATTCTTCTCATATTTTGGTATACACTACCCTATCTTGAGCACTTAGATGTTGCAGTATCTTTCGTAATAATATCAATGCTTTCATTAACTCCTTCTCTTTTCTGAATGCTTACGAGTTGTGTAACCTCGTGGCTATTATTAGCATTTATCGTCCTAATCGATGTTTCGTAGTTCATTGACGAGGTTAATAGTGTTCCTATCTCCACACTTATTTACATATTGCACTTTTTTGCAGAGCCTTTTGAGCTTCTGTATGGTCTATGCCATTAATTGGACTTAATCTAGACGGTTTCTGCTTTGCATCGCGATGCTTAAAAACATGTTGTGCTTGGCAGGTGATGATTACTGGCGATCAGGCGCTAACTGCTTGCCATGTGGCATCTCACGTCAATATTGTCACAAGACCTGTATTGGTTTTGACTCAACGATCTGATGATTCCGTAGGACAGTTTGATTGGATTTCACCGGATGAGACACATAAGCTAGCATACAAGTATGGACAATTACTTTTTAGTTGTTCTTTTTTGTTCAACCCTTTTTGCTAAGTTTTTTGCTGTGCTGCCTATTTTTCTAGAGCCTCTTACCTGAACATCTACTTTTATTAGTAATTTGTCTTGTTGCCAAGGTTTAATCTGATACAGGAATTGGTTTTGGTTTCTGTTACAGCGAAGATGAGGTGTTCGATTTGGCAGAGGTCTATGATTTATGCATTGCGGGCGACGGTCTTGGCATGCTACAGCGGACCAATGCTTTGCAGCTAGTTGTTCCTCTCGTTCAGGTCAGTCCTACATAGTTGCCAGAACTGAAATAAAAAATGCTGTTGTGATTTCTGCTATTTTCAATCATGTTGCAAAGTGAAAAGGATCTACCACTCCGTTCACTAATAAGATCTGTAGGAAGCTATAGAGCAGTTTTGGTGCATGTTTTCACTTCGTTTTCACCTTAAAGACATGATGCTCGTATTTTAGGTGTTCGCAAGGGTTGCTCCTGATCAGAAGGAGCTTATATTAACCACACTGAAGGCTGTGGGCCGCACAACTCTCATGTGTGGTGATGGGACCAATGACGTTGGAGCACTTAAGCAGGTGAAATCACAATTTATAAGATTTCTCTGATGATTATGCCAGTGTTTAATCTTGGTATGGATGCATTCCAGCTTGTGAGGAGACAGACAGTTCGACTTAGTTCAGACTTAACTGACCACTATTGTCCTGTCTTGTAGGCTCATGTCGGAGTCGCACTTCTGAATGCCATCCCTCCCGCTAAAGCCTCGACTACCTCGGCAACTGGTCCTCTAGCAGATTCATCGAGCGCAGGATCCGATTCAGGTATCAACTGCCGTAATTGCTGTCGTAGTGCCAAAACACCATCTGTTGTCATCTCAGCTTCGTTTTTTCTTTTTGTCTTTTTTTCTTTTTTTGATAAAATAGCTGAGTGCTTACTCGTCACTCTGTAAGTAACTCATATGATAGTGTTAGGTTTCGATTTTGCTAATTTGCAAGTTCTACTGGTTCATACAGTTGTCAACGCCAAACCAAAGCGGAAGAGTGGGGTTGCAGGTTCACAAGGGCTTTCAGGTGCTGTCACCCCAGGCCAATCTGGATCATCTTCAATAGTTAATCGAACGAACAAAGTATCCCTCCCTGCATCGGAGCAGCTGTCACCAAGTGGTCGACAACTTACCCCTGTTGAGGTCAAGAGAAAAGAGTTGAAGAGGCTAATTGATGAGATGAATGAGGAGGGCGATGGAAGGGCTCCAGTGGTCAAACTCGGAGATGCATCTATGGCAGCTCCCTTCACCGCAAAGCACTCTTCTGTTCGGCCTACAACGGACATTATACGCCAAGGCCGTAGCACATTAGTAACAACCTTGCAGATGTTCAAAATTTTGGGTTTGAATTGCTTGGCAACGGCATACGTCCTGAGTGTGATGTACCTGGATGGAGTGAAGCTTGGTGACATGCAGGTGAGTCATTTCGTAATCGTTTGCTGGTGGTGCACATGTTTATCTGTAATTATGACATGATTTGTGCAGACATCTATAAGTCCTATCTATTTCAGTTTTGAATTGATGCTCTTAATCGTCGATAACCAAATTAGAGATGTCGTATCCTAATTCATCAGATAATTTTTTCTTTGTGAGGCAGGCAACGATTAGCGGTCTTTTCACTGCATCCTTCTTTCTCTTTATTTCCCATGCTCGGCCTCTCGACACTTTGTCGGCCCAACGGCCGTATCCGAACATATTCAGCCCTTACGTCATTCTATCGCTTCTCGGACAATTCTCAATCCATATCACATTTCTTATATGGGCTGTGAACGGCGCACAGGCATTTATGCCGGAGGAATGTGTGGAACCTGAGTCAGAGTTCTCTCCGAATCTCGTCAACACTGTCTCGTACATGTCCAACATGATGATTCAGGTTATTAACTCATAACAGTATTGTATAATCCATGGTGTGATGATCCTCTTTTCTGTTCTCAACTTGGTTGCTGTTGCCGCCGCTGCTGCTGATGGACTTTTGGAGATTATTATGTTTGACCTTTCTGAGATCGAAAGTGGGTTTCGATGTCACAGGTGGCCACTTTTGCCGTCAATTATATTGGTCATCCTTTCAACCAAAGTATTCGAGAAAACAAGCCGTTCTATTACGCTTTGACTTCGGCAGCAATTTTCTTCACTGCGGTTACATCCGATGCCCTCCGCAGTCTGAATGATTGGCTAAGGTTGGTGCCTTTACCGAAGCCATTTGGTCATCAACTGCTTTTTATGGCTTTTGGAATGATGGTCAGTTGCTACACGTGGGAGCATTTGTTGCGACGGTTGTTCCCTGCAAAGATGCCTTTAGCTCGGCCTCGTCAGACCCAGAAGGCTTCAGGTGCTAAAAAGGTCCAGTAGATAGCTACATGTTTTAACGGATCATGAGGCAATTAAGAGATTAGATTTTCACTTACATTATTTGCAGTAGTTGTCATTGTTTCTGCACTTCGCCATACACTTTCCTCAGTGTTTTTGTCAAAGTGATACCTAGTGAATCATATTGGAATTTTTGTCACAAGTGACGACTTCTTGCCCTTTCATTTAGCAGAACTGACGAGGTACGCTTGGTGCAAAATGAGTGCCTTCCTCCAATTCAACCCTCAAAGTGTTTTTTTTTTTTTTTTTTTTTTTTTTTTTTGTCCCTGATCCAACAATCTCATCTCTTTTTTATCCAACGGTGCAGAGAGTTATTGTTACATCTGTTGATTCAAGCCACGAAACGTTTAGTAATGGCCTTAAGGATGAGATATGTCCAGTGAAGTGATTGTGTTGCTTGCTCGGGTGAAGTTGACAGTAGATTATCAATGTTTTACTTGGAGGTTGGGACGCTTTTGTTTTGCACTTTTCCCATTTGGGCCCGCGGTTCTAATTGTGGACGGCCTTGAACCTCCTTGTCGATTCAGCAATATTTTACTTGTATACGACACGGTACATGGCAATTGAAGGACCTACGTCACATGAATTGAAAATTGGATATTGAACAACAATCCTGAGTTAAAAACACGTTGAAACATGAGGCTCATAAAACAAAAGACGAACCTCCGATTTGGTGCAAACTCCTCGTCCCCTGACCACACCTTGAAGAAGGGAATTTTGCAACCTGGGTTATCAACTGACTGTCGCTCTAACTGAACTAACACTAACAGTTCGTGTCCATTTTCCAAGACTCATGCAGCTATGGTGTTGCAACATTTGTACAACAGAGCAAAATAAATAATAGTAATAATAATAATAAGGGTACACGTATTGCTGCCACTCCTGCTGGGTTTGTCCATACCTTTCGATAGCCCCTTTTCCAGCAAATGGCTCACTAAGCTTCTGATTTTCAGCACATTCCGTGAAGCGATCGCATTGTTCACTTTTCTGATGTGGCCTAAATTCTGTCGCTGTTCACCAGCTGTGGCTTTCTAGTTTCTGATTTATCTTTTTTCTTGTGGTTGTTTTTTCTAACATAAATAAATATATAATATAGCCAGCAAAATCAGTCAGGAAATATTGCAACCGTTGAGGAAAATAACGCTGATAGAAAAAAATAAAATAAAATAACATCACGTTCATGAGGCTCCTTCCGCCTTGTCAGAGTTGTATCTGCTGTAGTTTTCACTTGCAGATTCATTCCACCCATTTCGATACTTCCATGGCCTTTGCACAGTTTGAGATTCAAAAATGATCTAACTTATTATATACATATATTCATTCATATTAATGAAAAGTGTTTTCATATTTGTGTTTTGTTTGTTTTTTTTTTTTTTTTTTTTGTAAGATTATGTCAGAAATTCATGTGTGATCAATTGATTATACAATGAATTGTTCATGGCTGCTGTGTGAATATTTAGTTAAAGCATATTTTTCAAAAAAATCACTCAAATTGTTTGATTAACAATCCAACAAAACACAAACAACCACATTCTACAAATAAATAATTCCTACAACACATGAAAATGTAAGTAAGGTCATTGCAGTTAATCTTACCCCAGCAAAGAGAATCACACATCCCATAAAGAAACAAAACCTATAAAAACAAAATCCCAATAAAATAATACTTTACAAGGCAATTAACAACAGTTTGTCAAATACATCTACACTCACCGTAGACTCATGCGCAATCAATCTACGTTATATCCAGGAAGGAACCATCTCATTAGAGGGCCCCACAGAACCCCCCCCAGGACGCTTTACCCTTTTTCGTCACCTTTAACTGAAACTTTACGACGAAAAAAGTGTGTTCGCTCTGCACAGTCAGCATCCTCCACTGTGGATGGGTGGTGGAGGTCAGGGCAAATGCAGGCCACTCACTCACACACATGTCTCCATTCTCTCTATATATATAGAGAGAGAGAGAGAGAGAGGGAAATGACACATGGAAAGAAAAGAGGCCAATGTTGAGAAGTAGAAAGAAACTAGCGCAGTTGGGACCTCCCTGATAGGTCCCTTTTGGGCCTTCTTTTTCATGTCCCTTATCTTCTTCTGTTTCTCCTTCCCCTTGTTGGTTGTTATTGTTAGTTTGCTTGTTTTGCTTTGTCGCATTGTGGGGTTTGAGAGTGTGGGGTCCACCACATGCACACCCTAAGGGCAAGTAAAGCCAAAGGAGGCTAAAAAGAGAAAGAGGAATCTAAAGGAGAAGGAGAGAGGGGTCAACCATTTCCTTTAGTTCGTAGTGGGCACTAATGCACCCCCCTCCCCCCTTTGCAAGGTGTCATCCATTTGGTCCCCCTCTCCATTGGGATCCTAACTAAAGGGACTCCTCTCTATCCTTGCACCATTGCCCCTTTTTATCTACTTTGATATTATATTTATATTATCATCTTCATTATGCCCTTGCATGCATGAAAAGAAAAAGAATAAATGCTTGCCCCTATCCCAATCACATGTAATTTTGTCCATAGCTCTCCCCCCCACTTCTACTTCTTGTTTTTTTATTCCAATGCATTGAGATTTGATTGTGCATGTGTGTATGCATGTTATTTTGTTTTATATTGGGAAGATTGGATTGTATATGGAATCATGTAAGGAAGTTACCAACTTGCAACTGAAGCAAGTGTTTTTTTTTTTTTTTTTTTTTTTTGGTCTAAATGGTACTCTTTGGTATGTGAATTGAATATATTAGTTTGGTTTGGAAATAATGCGTAAAATAGTTGTATGGGTTTTTGTACATAATTTATGTGAAATCTATGTGGGGGGGGGGGTACAGTAAAGTACATAACAGTTGGAAAACTGACTCAGCCCTGATTGAAGTAGCAATATACTCTTGTTTTGTTGTGGATCAACAGAGATCTACCCTGTATTTACTACAAAACAAGTAAAATAAATAAATAACAACAAAAACAAAAAATAAATTGCAACTGACATGTGGGAGGTATGAAATGGTACAGTAATAAGTAGTTGAGAAAGAAATAAAGAAATGAAATGAAATATATTAACATGCCATGGGGATTGTATTAAGTGCTATCATTTTTAGAACTACATTCAATCTATTAAGATTTGACTCTGTTCGTTCACCAAAAAGTGATTGGTCTAACTCCACATTCATACACAGTCAAATGAATGAATGAACACATATATATATATATATATATATATATATTTCTAAAAGATAGTAAGTGTGGTTAATACTTTGAACTGATACATTTACAAGGCATTCCTTTGCCAGCTTAAATTTCACTCTATACTTTACAAAAGAAAATTTACAATTTAAATCAAAAGTTTTACACACATGGTATTTAAATGTAACTATCTCAATTAATTGCGAAAATAAGGTTTACCCTGAGCATGCACTTTTGTCGGAGTGTGACAAGAGATATGATCGGAGGGTAGCCAGACTCCAGCCTGGAATCCGAAGGTGTGAAAGGGGTTCCGAGAATGAATGGTGGACTTGAGAGCATGAAAACAATAAGACCCATGCCAAGCAAGCAACCCCCCTCCTTTCTCCTTTTCTTTTCTCACCCCCCCCCATCAAACTTTTACTTTTGTTGTCCCCCCTCTCTCTTTTGGGTCAGTTTGTTGAAGGCATTTTCGGATTACAAGGAACCCTGTTGCTTAAAAGGGCCAGGCCCAATCACAATCTTGCTCCATACTCGTGGTCCACTTCAATCACCTCTCAAGGCTCCAGTAGCCACATACACAAGTTTCCCAACATGGCCAGCCAGTGGGACTGGATTAATATGGGCACCATCAAAAAAACCACTAAAAATGTCCCCCCCCCCACCACAAGAACAGGGATGTGTGATATAATAAAGGTAAAAGTATTGAAAAAGGTAGATTCAGATACAAGAATCATTCGATGGGATTGTTCGTGATTATTGTAAGAAAAACTCGCTTTTCACTTTATTGGAAAAGGACACAAAGTTGGATGCATGAGGGGGATGCCACATGTGATTCGCTCGCTCGCTCGCCCGACCGATCGATCTGTTTATTTAGCATCCATCCATCAATCCAACACACCATTCATCCACAAATACATTCATCTATAGGCTATTCGTCTCCTTCCTTCCGGAGTTACGAGAATGCGGCAGTAGTTGCGGGCGTTGCAAAAAGGCGAATTACACATCCTTCTGGGCTGGATCTGTACAGAAGAAGTGGCTTGTTGCTTGACGTCTAGGCACCTCAGTTTGAAGACGTACACAGCGAGAGAGAGAGAGAGCGCGAGAAAAGAGCTGCCAGCAACAATAGCGTCGACGATAAAGTCAGAATTAGCCATGACAGATCTAAGCTTCGACGCACCTTCAAGCACTGAGGTCTTCCTGCCAGAAAGAAGGCCCTACCCTAGCAAGCAGACAACTACCCTTCTTCATGTTCCGAAAACGGGCTCATGGCAAACCAATCTTTCGAGGACATGGAGTCAGCAGCAACCGCTATCAAGCAGCAATTCGAACTCCTTCCTCTACACGGTCAACTTCGGAATTGGCCTCGTAGATCGGGAGTGCGCAGGCAGGCTGAGCATGCCGGGTCGGCGGTAGATCTGTTGCTCGTTCCGGGGATTGAGTGCGAATTGAGCGTGTATACGTGGAAAGGCGCGGGGAGCCAACCCTGGACAATGGTTCAAATCGAGAAGGGCTGGGCGAGGGGACGGGTGAGATTCGAGAAAGGGTTTCAGAACAATGTACCAATTATATACATGTTGAATAAAAGGTAGATTCCAGGATATCGGGTCGCGGAGATCATGTTCCGGAACGGTAGAGGGGTGCGGCAGGGACTCTTCTGGACACGTGTCGGGCATGAGGGGTGGCAAGGGTCTGCCGCGGTATTGAGGGGTGCTTTTGTTTCTACGAGAGAGAGAGGGACCGAGAGCGAGAGAGAGCTCTACTGGGGCTGAGGCTGAGCCTGCACCGGATTCATTGTTGTTGTTGTTGTTGTTGTTGATGATGATGAGGCCATTGTTACCTTTTCATTGATGATCACGGTGTAGGAGCATCTGCTTGGACGCAGCTTCTCACATCGAGAGATAGAGCGAGGGATAGTGAGAGAGATAGCGACACAGACACACTTGGAGTGTCAGTCATGCATTGTTGGTATGAGAATTTTGGTAGTTTAGGAGGCTCGATTCGAGCGATGTTGGAGCACGTAATATATGAGATTGCACCGAGCGTTGAGAAGCAGATGAAGCGGGGATAATTGAGAGCCCACAATTGGGAGGAGGAGAGGAGAAGGGGAGGTTTGCGAAGGCGAAGCGAAGCCGCGTCAGAAGGAGGAGAGAGGGGAGGGGGTGAGTTGGAGGAATGTTCGAATGAGAAAGAGAGACGCTTCGTCCCCAGGGGTTTGATTTGGTGTTGTTGTGGTGGAGATTCTTTGGGTGAGACATTCAGATGCTCACATCGTCTTGGTGCCCTCACACGGGACTAGTTGAGGATTTCGCTGTGACTCTGTCCACCAGAGCTCACAAATCTAGCCCGCTGCTGGGTCGTTACACCAGGTTGTACGGGTTCTGTCCAGGGTACTCTTGAAAACGAGACCACGGAACCTAGCTGTACAGATGTAATTTTGGGTTCTGGATCGTGGATTTGCATGGAGGATGAGGGGTGATGGTAAGGGAAAAGTAGATGAGGCGAGGAGGGGCGTTGGTAGGGGAGGCAAAGGTGGGTTCGTGTCGACATGAGAGTCAAGCAGGCAGGGTCACAATCGACGTCGAGTAATCGACGACCCCCACAACATAGTTCGTGCATGGAAGCTTCTTTCAAGGCTGGGAGAGGCGATGACTGTTGTGGAGATGCTGGTTTGGCTGGAAGCAGGATGCGGGAGCCAACGGGTGGCAACTACTCGCTAGTGCGTCACAATAGTGCAGTATTTGAGCATGATTTTGAATCCAATCGAAGTGGTTTGGTCCACACTGCTAGTGAAGTGAGAGAAGAAATGCAGTTAGGGTTGCCACACGGCTCTAAGGACCACATGAAATCGGATGGATGCGGCAGTGATGGTAAATCAGGGCAAAGTAAGGTCAAGGATGGGCTAGTGAGGCAGGTTTCGCGAGAATCACATGAGTTCTCGCAGGAAATGTATTCCTCATCGTCTACGTCCGGAAAGAGTGGTCACATCAATAGCTTTGTGCTGAAGAACTATTCACTGCATGACAGACGCAGCTTGAGTCTTCCCATCGGTAAGGAATACTCCATTAGTCGTACTCTATCGTCGGAGTTTCAAACGCATGTCGAAAGCGACAACAACTCTAGGAATGTAACATACTCTGAGCGACATACGAGCGTCAGCAACTCATCCTCCTCCTGCGACGGTGCCGATGGGTACTACATGCAGGACATCGACATTGAAGCCGAGAGGCACTCCAAATTCACTCTATTTTTTCAAGCGGGGACAACGCTCCTCACCGTAATGGGGGCCATGTTTATTTTGTACGTGTGTATACGATTCTTGACGTCTGCCACTAGTATTAACTTTGGAGATGAACCTAGGTTGAACCGCAACAACAACCCTGGTTTGCAGCATGATAACAGCAATAGTGCTTACTCTCATTGTAGGCTCTTTGTCAAGGTATGCCCTTTACTAGGGCTGTTTACTGCGGGGTTTGTAGTGGTGGCTAGGACATGGGTGTCGGAAGGTCGGTTGTGGCGATGGGCCCCGACTTCTCCGATGAACTGTGGTCACTGTGATGATTACGATGAGAACCGACGTCTGGCCGAGGAGGCCGATGAGAAGGTTCGACAGGCTGATCGATCTAAGCAGCAGTTCATGGCCTATGTCTTTCACAATATAAGAGGTAAGGATGTGTCGAACGTGCTACTGCCGAATGTTTTCCAAATGCGACGCTGTAAGATAGCGCGAATGTGTGCGGTGATGCGTTTACTTGGTTCTTTACAGTGCATTCTGCTTCATAACCTTTGCTCACGATGTTTTTTCCTGCCTGGCGCAGTGCCTTTTAACGCCATTGTTTTGGGACTCGGTCACATGCGAGCTCTCGGAGACGGAAGTGGCATGGTAGGAAATGTAGCCGATAAGATGGACTTAGTGCAAATGATGCTAGACTGCGCGGAGACAATGACGAGTGTGCTTGACGACGTCACGGATATGGGTCAGTTTGGGCTTTCTGTTACTCAATGGTTTGAAACTCGTTTACCTGGCAGGTTAAGAATGCATCATGTGAGAGATGTGGCTCGTATATATATTTGTGTGTCTGGTGCAACACAAATTTCAAAGGCTAAGACGTATTCTTCTTTCAGGTCAATGGGAAGGTGGGCAGATGGAACTTCACAAGGATGAATTTGACATTCTTGCGGTCATAAAGTTTTTATCCTGGGGCTTGAAGGATTTGTTGGAGCAGAAGGACATTGCATTTAAAATGAATATTGACAGTTTGGCAAGCCAGCTCCTAACGTCGCATCGAGTTATCGGAGATAAGCAGCGTGTTGTACAAACTTTAGGTGCGTGTATGTTATTGATCTATGCCTATCCGAGTGTTTTGGGAAGTGATTCTCATTTTTTGACTGGGAGTTGCTGCGGGGGAAGCCTTTAGTATACAACTTGATTGTTTTTCTTTGTGTCCAGGAAATTTTCTAAGTAACGCGGTCAAATTTACGCCATCTGGAGGCAAGTTAGATCTGGATCTACAATGCGAGGAGGTTGTGGAGAGCAATAATATTGAAGATCATGTGCCGAATACTTCTCCGACCACCCAAACAAGCGAGGGGTCGTTACTGGGGGCTGCTGGCATCCAAATCTTGTCAAAGACTTCATCTCAGGTGAAGTCTGGCAAGGGGAAAGTAGCGAGGTTGCGGCTTTCTGTGAAAGATAATGGAATTGGTAAGCAAAACTTGATTGGTGGCCATATGCTTTGCAGGTATTAGTTACTGGAGCAGGGGTCACTCTGTCGGCAAGAATACTTGGATTAGCGAATTGGTGATAGTGGTAAATGAATTTCTCATTTTTTTATCCTCAAAGCCATGGAGCTTGGCAATTCATCATCTGACAGGTTCTTCAGTTGAAGAATGGTTTGTGATTTATTAAGCAGCGGTTCAATTGCACCATGTTGGTGGGTATTGTTTTAAGTTAGACTTTTGGTTTGTGCAGGAATATCTGCTCAAGACCAGGCAAAGTTATTCGAACCGTATTCATTTGTAACTTCAGGATGGGTCCTGAAAGCAGGCGTTTCTGGGTTGGGTCTGAGCATGGCAAAAAGGTTCGTAGAACGCGCTGGAGGGAGCATCGGTGTGGAATCTGAAGAAGGGAGTGGCAGTACTTTTTTCTTTTCCATACCTTTTCCTCTTGTGCCAGTGACTGTGAGTCACGACCGGGAGTTAGTCAAGTCGGATGGAGGAGCAGCTTTGCTTCAGAAATCCGAGGTTACTCAATCAATGGATAGTTCAGGTGTGACAGTTGTGCACGAATCCATCACGTTGTCAAGAAGGCGATCCAATCTTCAAAATCAAGAGGATTTGAAGCCGGCGGTAAAAAAGAAATTGGCAACTGAAGTGCCCGATGTGAATAGGGATATACCTGATGGCTGCACAAAACACTCGAAGCATGATGAGGGGTGTCAAAGGAAAGTGCTGCTTGTCGAAGATACGCGAATCAATAGAGTGAGTGAGATTTATATTTGGAGTCACATAAATGCTTGGATGTTGCAGGCAGTGTGCATTTGTCCTCGAAAGTTGTATTTGAATGTTTTTCTAACCTTGGAAGTTTTAAATCTCTTTTGTTTGCAGATAATTCTACGGAAGGTGTTATTAAACCTGAATTTACAGTGTGATGAAGCTGAGAACGGTCAAATAGCAGTGGACTTTCACAAAGAAGGGAGGACATACAATCTTGTGTTAATGGATAAAGAGATGCCTGTGATGGATGGCCATGAAGCTACAAGACAACTACGAAATATGGGAGTGAAGACTCCGATTGTTGCATTAACCGGAAATGCATTAACCACTGATAGAGAATTGTTTTTCAAGGCTGGTGTGGACGACTTTCACACTAAGGTACACTTCGCAACTTATTTCGACATTCAATGAGAATCTCTATGTGGTTTATTGTTTTAGAAAGTTGCAAGTTTGTTCTCTTAAAAGTCTCTTTAGGAGTATCTAATTGTGTGCAGGTGTCTTTCTTTTATAATGCAGCCTTTGTCCAGAGATAAACTTGTACAGCTGTTGGCACGGTTTGGAGTCGAAAGTTCGTGTTCAAAGACTTCATGTTCAAAGAGGGTGTGATGGAAAACCATTCTTTGACTGTGGGGTTATTCAGCTTTGGCTTTTTTGCCTCCTGTAACACTTATTTGCAAAAGAGATCTTTTAAAAAGGTGCTTAATGCGGTAGGGGGATTTATTTTGGAAGCCTTCACTGTAGGTGCTGATGGATGTCGAAGATGCATACGACTGCCTGTCTAACTCGGTTTTTTTGACTCTGGCAAGCTTTGAACATTTTGATGTTTGCATGCTGTTGCTGGTTTGTTGAGACCACATTGACTGCCACGTTTCAGGGTGGACGTACAAGGTTGCGTCTTAATTTTGACTAAAGTTAGACCTTATTTATAGAAGTACTTTCCGCAATTCATTTGCATCTCAATTACTTGGTAATGTGTACTGCATTCATTGGATCTGTTCTGGCGTCTGTCATAAATTGGCAGAAATAATTTAGTTGTACATTGTCCGGCCCTGCAGCTTATAACTGTGTTTTAACATGATGGTTACCTTCAGTCTTTGGTCTATCGGATATCTTTCTACATTGGTTTCTTACCATCTCCGTTGGATAACATTTCTTAATGGATCCATGGCACATCTTACGATAATGCGAAACTCCAGTTTTAGCATTTATATTACTAAAACCATTCTTGTCTACGAATCATTTTTACCTCGTTATACGTACTCATTTGCTATTGGTTACCAGAAAGAAGCTGATTGCGTGTTGTATTAGGTACCAATTTTCTGCAGTGAGTTAAAAGTGGTGCAATTCTACAATTTTGTATATATATTTTAAAAAGTTAAATTTGTTGCAGTGTCTTTATTGGATTGTTAATTGATTATCTTTTGCAAGTATTTGATTTACATAGTTATTCTAAAAGCATATACTTATTACTTATTACTTAGTGTGTTGCATATTTTTGTCCACATTCAAATATATATATATATATATCTGAGAATTCAAAATTACTTCTTTCATAACCCATGTTGGAGGTTTGACATTGAATCTACAAAAATTAAGTGATTATTTTGTACCAATTTACATATGTAATATATACATAGTACAGATAATAAATTAGTCTAAAGTTATTTTTGATTTTCATATGCAAATGTAAATCACTCGGTAGTTTATTCAAATTTGATGACATTATTTGTAATTGTATTGGATGTTTACAATAATATTACCGTACTTGCAGTCTAATTGTGCTTATTGGTATCTTTAATTTTAGCCACATTTGAAAAAATACATTTCTTCTAAACATTTTTTATGAAACTATTACCATTATTGTTGTTGTTATCAATGTAACATTTTTAAAATTTAAAAATTAATTTCAGTAAATACCTTTTTATAAATTTTTGTTGAATTTTTTCTATAGCAACATTAGGACTTGTTAAAACCATGTTAAAAAAAAAAAAAAAAAAAAAAAAAAAAAATACTCGCATCAATTTTATAAATATTTCATGAAAAGATCTCAAATAGATATAACATGAAGGTGTACTATTTTAAGCAAACAATACACTTTATACAATCCAAAACTACCAAAATATATTATGTTTGGTTCTCAAGAAATGTAGTAGGAGTAATAAATTGAACTTTATAGGCCTTGTCAAAACTTCTAAGATTAATGAAGACTAACTAGAGTTACAAAAAAATCATTATTATAATAAATATTTATTATTTTTTGTAGAAGTTCATATTAAAATTAGAATACTATTAATGCCACTACAACCTGCCACCCACACAACATGCTTTTCCATTTTCATTTTCTTTTTTCCATTCCAGAAAAACATAAATTCAATCAAAATAGTATAAATGGTATCAAACAAAGAAAATTTGATCAATTCAAAAGAATTTGAGCGAAAATAGCATGTGGTAAATGGGAGATTGTGGTGGCAGTAGCAAAAAGTGTGGTAACATTAGCAATACAGTAAAAATATTGGTGATAATGTTTCTCTTACATATAAATAACAATTATTTGTTTATTTATTTATTTATTTTTCTTTTTGTCTAAATAAATTTTTGTATATATATACAACAAAGATTTGTTTATGATACATTTTTTTGCTACAATAAACATTAATAATATTTGTAAGTATTGTTACTTATATTTTATGATTGATTTTAATAATACTACATATTTGTATAAAATTTCAGTACGGAATTGTGTTTTGTTAATTTGGAAGGTATTTTAACAAGTTCATTATTTTAGACATCGTAAATAAAATTTGAGATTGGTACAAAAATTATTGTTTTGTTTACAATTTTTTTAAATTTTCTTTATTTAGAAACAAAAGTGGTAATATACTTATTTTAAATTAAAATAATAAAACCTTTTATGTATCAAGGCACTTGGTAAAATTCTTAATATTATCATTATAATAGATAGTATATATGTTAGACTTACATACAAACCAATCCTAAATAAATAAATACTACTTTTGTAAAAAGAAAATTGTGAACTTGTAATGTTCCTTGGTTGCAATTTTATAAGACAAAAAATAGACTTCACGATCAGATTTTTTGAATTAAGTAATGTCACTTTTTTATTTATTAGTACTAAGTTACAAAAAATTTAGAATTTTTTTTTTAATATTTGAAAAAAAATATTGAGAATAATATCTTATTTTTTTTCCTAACTTGAATGGAATTTGAGCATTGCAATTTGAGAGTATAAATTTTAATATTCTTATTTTATTTTTATAGGTTATTTTATTGTTATATATAACTTTTATGACAAGTCCTAAAATAATATTGGTGATATTAAGTGTATATTATGGATGATGTTATTATTGAAAAAATGTATTTATTACATTGCTATAACTTAATAATTGTAAGAAAAAAAAATGAAAAAGAAGAAGAAATAATCAAATAATCCTTCTTCAAAATATATTTTAAGTTTTGTATATAAGAAGCACGGATTTAAATTACTGTGAGGCCACTTTTAGATTGAGTTGGTCATTAGTGGCAGTTTTAAAATTATTTTACATATACTTTTTTATCTTAGGAAAAAAAATAGATTCTATCATTTGTTTATTTCGTATGCAAATATCTATACGAAATATCCATGTAATATTTTAAATAATTTTACATTCTTTATGCATTAAATTTTCTTTTTCAATTTTTTATTTTAAATTAAAAAACTAAAATATCTATTTTGATATTTTTTAGATTTGTAGGATATTATTTTTTCTTTTTTATATACATCTTTGTTGAACGTATAGTGTATATAACACATGGCAAATTTTCATATATAAGCAACAATAAAGATTCTAAAAATTAGAAAAATAAACAAAAAAAGTAATGTATAAAATTTGAGGGCATTTTGACAAGAAGATGAAATTGTAGAAAATTTTTATTGGATGTACACAATACAAATATGATAAATGTATGATCCATTTTACATATAAGAATATGCTGTATGCAGTAATGTCTAAATAGACAGTAATTAGAATTGAAGGAAAAGGGAAAAAGAAAAAGAAAAAGAAAAACAACACAAAACAACAACAACAACATGATAGTATGGAGATAAATGCATGTAATAATTAAAACAAAATTTATAAGAAACATACTAAAATAAAATTATATTATAGAGAGCAGACAATCTATACAAAAATGACATGTCTAACAAATCTACAAATATCAATTTTTATTATAAAATGTGCATTATAGCCTTAGTTACATTATGGCAATTAGGACAATAAAATTTTATAGAATCTATTGTAGTTTATTAATGTCATTACAACAAAATGATGAAAATAAATTAAAAGAAAAATCCAACAATACACCAAAAAAAAAAAATCTATCATATATGGATAATATAAAATAAGAGATATATTTTTTAAATTTTTATTGTATGAAAAGGCTATGTATTAATTATTGTTTATAGAGTGTGGTGCAAATTTTCTCAATTTAATTAAAATCAATACCCTATCAACACTTAATGTACAACTACATTATTTATAAGATGCGCCAACAAAGAAGAGAGTACAAAAAATTGTAACTTAAATAATACAAACCTCTTGCATAATATCCTACAACTCCACTTGAATGTAACAATTTAGAAGAAGAGCCACAACCAACTCCATGTCTTAAGCCCTCTTTCTATTGCAAGAAGCATGATTCAAATATTATTTATTGCTGTTTATTAAAAAAATAATTCCCCAAAAATCACAAATCCCTTTATTTTCTTGTAATCCAAGTTTTTTTTTTTTTTCTTTTTTTTTTTTTAATTTGCTTTCTACAATTTCACATATCTACCTTATTATCTCCTATAATAGTTATATTTAAAATTTTCTTTATATGGTCTTTAAATTAAAAATTACCAAATTTATTTTAAAAGTTTATGTTACTTTTTAAGAATTTGAAATGCTAAGATATTAATGAAATTTCAAATGTATAAAATTGATTGTTATAGTAAAATAATACTTTATTACTACTTGTTGTAGTATTTTAAAGTTTGTTTACTTTTAGTTTTTAAAAATAGTGTCCATTGATTATTCACTTCTAACAATTCACTCTATTGGTAAATTTTATATATTTGTAGTAAAATCTATTATTATGAATATTAGTTATATTACATTTTTTTGATAGAATAGAATTTCCATTTTGACAAACAAATATTGATTTCAAAAAAACTTGTTTGGTCCTTTTTTTTTTTTTTTTTTTTTTTTTTAAACATACATTAAAATTATAACAAATCATATGAACACAGATGCAAACAGCAACCTTATTACATGGAACTCATTAAAAAAATCCCGTTTATTCAAAATTTATTTAGTAATTTATAGCTTGTACCTTAACCTGCCCGTCAGAGAATGTTTCACACTGCCCGCGGGCAGGATGTGGAAGCTGGCGAACGTTGTGGCGGGAAGAAAGTGGGTGACGTGGGGTCTATGCAAAGTCAACGTGGGAACAGCGGATGTGGAGGAGGAGATTTCGGGCTGTTCCGGCGCTGTTCCCGTGCCGTTCACGTGCTGTTCACGTGCTGTTCCCGTGCCAGTGCTCCTTGTGCTGATGCTAAGCACTATTTTCCATTGCCCATTCCTCTGCTTCGTTAGCATCTGAGGAATTTGCGTCTCTTTGTAGCACCTACTTCTGCGTTGGGTGTTTGCTCGTCGCACACTGTACCGCTGCTCCGGATCATCCTTGTCAGAATTGCAGTGGTACCTGCTGTGAGTGAAAGTTTCCAGAGTTCACACCCATGCTTGTTGTTCTGTCTGGCGAATCAGCAGCTTAAACTCGGTCATTCACTTTGTGAATAAATATTGTACTGCTTATATTGTTGCATTCTAGTTTTGTACAAGTTGAATGTGTGATCCTTGAATACAATTTGTCGTTGAAGCTCTGGAGAAGTAGCTTTCTTTAGAGGGTTCGTAGGTATTGTCAAAACATGTTAGTCTCTGTGATTGCTGTCCTTTGACATGCGCGTTTTACGAATATGATTTAGTAATGGAAATCGTGGAACTTTGGTCCTTCGGCACGACTTGTGAGTAATCATGAAATAGTGCTTTGAATTTATCAGGGTTAATACTTCGCCACATCGGATTGCAGTAAATGAATCTTCAGGTTTATGATGAGTAACCAACTCGCTCTCATCCGGTGGTCTTCTTTTTATGAATTTAGATTCATGCGATTCACCACCAAAGCCTTAGCAGAGTTTGCCAACCAAGAAAACAAAATCGGAAGACGAGACGCTGTTCGGTGTGTACGAAAGCCGTGAAACTTTATCATCAGTGTGGCGTTGGAAACTGTTGTATTTACGATTTAGGTGGGCACCTGACTTCCATCCGCCAAGTTACACCCTGCTGCTGGAGTTAGATTCCCTTGTGCACGAGTGGCCACACGAGCTCTCTATTGATACGGGTAACGGTCTGCTTCTTTCAGCACAGGAGTATGCTAACGATGAACGATGAAGATCAGCAATGGGGTAAATACAAGGACGATTATCACGAAGGCGTTTGGGTGAAGGATGTTTTAGAAATTCCTTTTCTTGAGGGCTTGTTTAAGAGGTTTGCAGATGAGAAGCTCAAACAAGGGAATCCCTGGAAAGCCCTAGATGTGGGATGTGGAATGGGCAAATACACCACAAGGTTACTGCGAGCCGGTGAGGTTGCCATTTACTGGAGCAAGTAAAGCTTTCCGGGTTGCTAATATCCCTTTTTTGAATGCAATTCTTTGAACTCATTAAAGATAATTACTTACAAACCATACTCATTAGTGGATGGTGGTGATATTGATTGCGCAGGTGCAAGTTACGTGGTAGCAAGTGACGTTGCGGCAGAAATGGTCGCAGGTGCAAAGAAAGAAACGGAACAGTTTCTCCTTGCGCAGTGAGTGTACCACCACACTACCTCTAACGCTATGGCACTCGAGGACTTAATAAACAGCAGGCTACGGAGCAGTTCATTTTATACTACTGCATGCTTGTGTTTTATCTCTGAACTACGTGGCTAGGAACGAAGTTGTGAAACTCTAGCAGATGTGAGTAAGTTTATCTGATGATGTCTAGTATGGATGATTTCCCACATCTAGCAGATCAGGAGGACCAGCAGGAATAGGTGAAGCCGAATTCCACGTCTGCTCTGCAGTGCATTTGACCAGTATTCCGAGAATCGAGGAGACGACGTTTGACTTGGCGATTTGCATATACGTCTTCTGCAATCTCGTATCCAAAGAACATGTATCAGTTCCTTCCACGATCACATAATCTGTAACAGCATCTTAGTCTTGACAGAGCTATCATTCCGTCGGCAGACTACCCGCATATTTCAGTTGAATTTGATTCTAGCTTGTGCCTACAGGTCAAGCAGGCGCTTGCCGAGATCTCTAAGCTGCTCCGGCCTGGTGCGACGTTCATGGTCTATGAGCCGCATGTCGTGGAATACCTTACTGGAACAGCTCAGCAGACGGGAAACGTTGAATATGTACCGAAAGCAGATGGTACTGGATACAAATATTTCGAGGACGAGGGCAAACCACGAACGGTTAGCATTCAATCTCCCATTTCACCGTGACCTAATTCCCGTTTTTCACTAGCATGTCTAGATTCTGAAATGTTCCTGATCTTTGCTCTCATCGAGACAATCAATACATAAAATAACTCAAAGAATGAACATGTAGAAAGTTGTTATATCAACAGCGGATCTTTACTCCGCATTCAGATGCTAACGTCGTGTGCTGTGTCCGTTGGCAGTTGAGAATTCGCATGAATGCTGGACGTCCAATTGAAATTGTGAACCGGTTCTATACTCTCTCATTTTGGGTCACTGCATTCTCCGAGGCGGGGTTCCAAGTGACACAGTTTCACGAACCGCATATTAGTGTTACAGATGTTCCTTCCGATGCACCCAGCTTCATGAGGTACTACGCTGAGTGTCCAAATGCCATGTGTTGGGTGTGCACTAAAGTATCCCAGTGACAACGGATGTTTGATACGAAGTGGTTCTCTTCATGTAAGAACAAGCAATTGGCAGACATGTATTATTGCTACAATGAGGTTCGAGGACTTTTATTTTCATCCATGTGAAGCTGAGAGTGTACTGACTGCATTAATTGCAGCCACACGGCCTTCTCCGCCGATTTCTTTGAGTAGTGCAACATTCCATTTTGAAAGGTTCAACTTCATAGAGAAACTTCTGACAACCCATTGTATGACTGTCCTTAAGCTATTTTATCCTAATTGTCTTGAGCACCAACACTGTACTCTCGCCTTTCGCATCATTGGCATCACCACATACCGGCATTCCTTGTAAGATGTCTTCTGCTGTCAGTGTGCTTGGTCCCCCTGGCCTCTTCTTCTACATCCTTGGGAGCGTACATGTGATGGTCTACTTTGTTACTCGTCGTTTTGAGGGTGTCCGTTCGTCCATTATCTGCTGCTTATTTTCGAGAGTGGATCTTGTGAGCAATGCAACACTCTCGCATGAGCTGTTTGCTTTAGGGTTAGGTTCTCAGTGGTGATAATGCAGATTCCGTATTACTTGCGTTCTAAATGGAAGTGGAAGAGCTCCCTACCTTGTGGTGTGGGCTGTCACTCCTGGAGCTGCGTAGGCTTCACGCTCAACTGCTTTTTATGATTTGCGGTGCTTTTGGCATGGTGCGTTTCCAGCGATGCAGTTGTTCTATCGTAGAATTTTCATTTTGATGACATACAGTTAATTTCATTCACAATTTTTGCTTGTGAATGTGGAATGTTTTCCTAAAACCTGTTCTGTTGGAGAGTACTCACACACTCTCGTGGAGCCTTGGCAATTCTTTGAGCTGGGAAGATACTGTTATCTTCTAGACAGCCAAATGTTGGAAAGGGAAGCGATTCGTTTACAGAATTATTGAATCCTCAGACTGCGGAGTGTGAGTCTTGGTGCACGTGATGATGTCTGGATCCACTCATCCCGTTCCTAAATCTTTTATTTAGAGCCTCTACATTCAGTGTAAGCATCATTCAGCAGCATGGTTCTGCAATGTGTATGGTCTTACGTAGGTAACTTTTTTGTAGTGCCAAACGCGTGGCCTAGGTGCGGCATGAACTTTCGGACTTTCATTTGATTTGGTTGGTCATGCTATATTTGACTGTTTTCTAAATTAGCGATGAACGTCAGTCTTGCTTCTGAGGTTGTGCAAATGAACTTCGTCGAGGAGAACCTCTAAAGGTCTGTCATCTACTAGGTTTTCATGCGGGTTATCAGGAACCTCTTCCAATTTAAGTATAATGTGTTCTATGATTCGAGCAGTTTAGACTATTTTTCAGTATGATTGTATCATCACTATTAGCATTTATTATGACACCATCCAGATTTGATAGTGACATTGGAGATTGCAGGTCTTGAAGAATAACGAAGTCGACCCTCACGAAGTGGATCCAGATTTTGAAGATCCAGAGGAATACTTGAATGATTAAGATCAATTTAACATTACCCATCGTCTCGCTGTATTATTCTCTCTGCTCGACGTAAACCCACGAGATGACTTTGTGAGTCTGATTGAGCTGCAAGAGTGGCATTTAGTAGAAGGTAGAAAAGCTATGCAACGTCGAAGCGATCGTGAAATGGAGGCTAACGACAAGAATCATGATGGTCTCATATCTTTTGAGGAGTGCCTTCTACATTTGACGGAGGAAGAACGAGGTATGCACCGTGATCTACATTTCAGCCTGGTTTTGGCGTTAGCAATATAAAGTGTATCTGATGTGGTTCCTTGAAGAATGAATCCAGCGTGCAAGTAGCTCGAATAACAGTAGTGGGGTCTTTTTGATGTTTCCAGCAACTAAGACCAGTGGCTGCAGGACAAAACAACACGGAGTTCGGCGAATCTGGATGGTATAAGGAGCAATTTTAAGAATGTGACAGAGACAAAGACGGGCTCCTCAATTCTACCGAGTGTAATGAGAATGTTCATTAATACTTGTAAATTTTTCGATAACATAATTTGTTTATCATCTCAGCAGATTTATCTTTAACTCAATACTTTACTCACTTATCTCAGCCAGTGCCTAGGTAGGTATCGTGAATTAGTGTTCGACATGCTAGGGATAGAGGAAGTGGCTACTCTTAGGAACATATTATTTTCAGCAGAGGAAAATTTAAAGTATTGTGATTTTTTTTGTAGCCTCACACTGCAGTGTAGTCAGAACCTCCGAGGCCAGTGGTATCCATTGTACCCGTGTGGCTTGTTGTTTAACCCAAGCCTCTGACCTGAATCATTTTTTTTATCGATTGCAGCTTTTTACATCTGAGGACAGTAATAACCCTCGCGTGCTTCAATGGTGCCGGATGGAGCAGATAAGGTAATGCCTGTTTACGAGTTTTTGAAAAGTGTCCTATAAACTTATTAGAGCTTGCTTGATTTTGATTGCATTTTGCGAACCCGTTCCAGGACTCATGACACAAACAAAGATGGGAAGATAAACTGGGAAGAGTTTCACCTTGGAATGTTCGATCACTTGCGGGACGAACATGATACTGAACATCTACACCCAGCCGAACAGCTCGAAGAAAAGAAGCAGGTTCAATCCGAACACCTTTTTTCTGAAATCGACAGAAATAAGGATGGGTGAGTCCGCTTACCAACGCACTTCAAGATTCCTTTTAACCCCTTTGATGGCTGTTTTGCTATGTTTCAGGTACATAAACCTTAATGACCTGTTTCACGTAGGATTCCTTATCATTTTTCTTTTGCAGCAGTTTGTTTTTTTATAGAACATGTTAGGAATTCTTCTCTACTTGCAATGCTAGCATCCCTTGCTAGATTGGTAGGTTTGTCGGATTGTTGATCATATTTGTAGCCTTTGCAGTTTCATCTTGCCATGAATTTCTTTGTATTTGAGCTCCTTTGTGTGCCACTCGAAATGATTCGTCTGCGATCCGGTATTGCATATGGTTTAAGACATACTTCATTATTTTGTTATGTTTTCTTAACTGGTTGCTTATGTTTTGATTGCCTTTAGGTGTTTGATTGAAGACGAGATTGCCCCCTCTCATGGAGAAAATCAGATCAAGTGAATTGTATTATGCAAATTAGCAATCCGAGTACCTATTACAGGAGGTCTGCCTTCGGTATTAAATTACCTCTCTTGTGTCTTTCTATGTGCTCATGTGGAAGCTCATAGGAGTTGCTCGTGCGCCTGACTAACGTGGAAGAATATCTTTGCATACAAGTTATAATATTTTGTTGTTTTGTCATTACATTCTATAACTTAAACTTCAACAGATTAAACCCAAATATCGATTTTTGAGAAGGGATTCAAGAAGACTTTTCTCCAGAGCATATTTTGGGCTGCAAATACCAGGATTGGTAGAGCGGTAATCATAAATAGGATGCTCGGTTCCTTATTATGACCGTTGTGATGTTTGTTCAGGCCGATGAAAACAGGGATGGGCGGTTGACACTAGATGCCTGAACCATCCGTACGTTTTTTACAGCACAGCATATGATGAAGAGTTCGATTATTCAACACACGATGAATTTCGATAGTTTTTCTTTTTTTTCAAGGTAGTTTCTTCGTTGTGTCTCAGTGTATATATTCTTAATATTTACCGGGGTCTACAGGTTTGCAAGCTGGTTTGTAAGGAATTATCAAATTTGAATGATCTATTTTTTTAGTATTATTTACTATATTTTTAATGTTGTGAGAAAACCGAACTAGTGAAGTTAAAGTTGTACCTCATTGCAATCAGGAATTTCTTGCTTGCAATCCTTCAACGATAGATGCCGAATTTTGGAGACATCGGTTACCTTTTCCTATTAGTGGAAAACCATCATTCTCTTGTACAAATACTAGAGAAAGTCAACAAAACAGGATGACTCGAAGTTAATGTGTTTAGGAGAATGGAACAATTAAAGCATCGCCGCAATTTTACATTGTAACTAGGGGCGAAAGCAGTATCAAAACGACCTTCTTTCGAAACTTTGATGAATTACCCAACAAATCTGTTTTGATGCACATTCATTTATGATTCATCGTGCCAATGCACATTGCTTCTCTGTGGTCATCGCTTCCTTCCTTTGCGACTCTCCTCCCTCTGTCCTTCACCTTGTTGCAATGTCGACTGCGTCGAGATCATCGCCGTCCTCGTCTTTGTTTGCTCCCATGGCGCCTGCTCTCTCTTCCTCCGTTTTTTGCTTCCTCCTGCTCTTCCTCACTTTTTCGTGCTCCCTCGTCCTCTCTGCGTCTGAGTGCCGCGCTGTTGCCCATGATGACAACATGAAGGAGCACGTTCACAGCAACAAATTTTTAGCCAACGAAGCATCCTATGCTTCTCTCGGCTTCCCTACTCTGTAATTTCCCACCCTTGTTCCCTTCATCTCCCTCGCCACAGCCAGTTCAATACTGTGTTTTCAACAACAGTGAGGGTATTACTGACGTAGTATTGGTGGTAGCGTGGATTTTATAATGTTTTAGCAGAATTGCGAAAGGGTGAGATTGCATGAGAACAACGATGAGACGAGTAAAGACCCAACAACTCCAGGTGCACATAGGATTGCACTCCCGGAAACTAATGAGATAGACACAGGCATGAAAACCCATAGCACCCAATTGCATGAAAAGTTGCTTCGCAGAAAACACAGGATGCAGGAAATCGAGAGAAGAATCTGTAGTGATACGAATTTCCAACTGAATAGAGTCAATCGTAAAATTGCGTAAGATGGCTGGAAGAACAACTCTCTCCAAGCACCCACATCAATGATCTACTATTATTTCCCAACACAAGCACCCATCCATGGCCACGGCCCTGCTGCAGTGACTTTACACAACCTCGCAGCCTCCGCCACCTCAGGGGGGTCGTCGATCCCGACACCGTCGCAACATACAAAAAACCAAACAAGTCAAAAAACCAAAACCCACCCTCGTCTACATCAGGAAGGAGCAACTAGATAAATCTTCATCTTCTTCTTCTGCTTCTTCAAGCCTCCTGGAGCTGCTGCACCTTAAGGATGTAATCCCGCTTGGCGTCCTCGGGGGACTTGTCCTCCGCCTTCTTCCACGCATTCCACTTCGCCTTGCCCTTGAAGTCGAACATGCCGGGGCAGGAGGTGTCGACCTTTCCAACAGTGGCGACCTTGTACAATGCATACAGGATCAGCAAGTCGTCGTCCGACGGCTTGGTTTTCAATTCCTTGGCAGCCGCGGCCGCCGCTTGGAAATCCTCGTCCAGACCCATCTCAGAGAATCGCAAAGGAAGAGGAAACTCACAACCGAATCAACACACAAGGCACGAAATCGACTCCTCGCCCAAGAACCGTGACGAGAATCGAGAAACAGGAGGTGAGTTCGTGAGTGTGGTGACTGATGGGCGCCGGAGGTTCAACAATAACAACAAGAAGCCGAGCCTCGTGCGGCGCCGATTAGCGGAGTGCCCCAAAAGGGGGTTCAGTCCTACGTGGCACCGAGTGGGCTGGATTGGAGCCTGCCACGTAGGCGTCTCGGTTCTAATGCAGAATTGCTTGGTGGCAGTTGCATTCTTTCGAGATCTTATCTCGAGTTGCCGTCTTTGATTTCTCTAGGTTTTCATCATAAGCATAATAATCACAATAATGGAGACTACATTTGTTGGTTGTTCTGTGTGAATGTTAAGCTTTTTTTGTGTAGTTTTATTCCCTAATTCTAAATAGTTAAAAATTAATTGACCGTTGCATGTACTCTATCAGAAACCCATTCTTTGGTTCATAAATTATGTGGAAGGCAAGTATCCATTCTTTGGGTCATAAATTACGTTGAAGGCAAAAATCCATTCTTTGGTTCATAAATTACGTGGAAGGCAATTTGGATTGTAGTTCAAGATATAGTATGGCAAGGGAGGATTGATAAGGATTTAATGTGATATGCTTATTGCAACTTACTATGAAAATATTAAATCATAAAAATAATTTCATAGACAATCTATTTACAAGGAATTACAATGCTTGCAATTATGTTTTAAATGTGTTTTAAGATATAACAATGTTTCTAAGTAGAAAAGTAAAAATGATATATATATATACATATACATATATTATATGTATATTTTTAATTAAAGTAATTTATCATTTAATATATTGTTGTTCAATGATAGGATTTTTATTATTAGATATTTTATTAAAAAAATTGTAACACTTACAAATGATATTAGTTGCAAACAATAATAATTCTAAAGATGTTGCTCATGTGTTCATGTTAATGTTGGATTCAACTTTGTATCTAGTTAAATACATAACTGTGCAACTTTAAAATGAATTGAGTTAAAGTCATAAAAAAGTAATACACTAATATTTATGAACATATTTATATTTTCAAAAACTTATCTGATGTTACATTTATGTAAGTGTATAAGTATCAATACAAATTTATTTCAATTAATACATGAATACCTTATAATCACCTGATGTTTTAGTTGAAGATACTTAAGTGAGGTGTTGTTAGTAAATACAGTTACAATTTACTGATGAGTCATTACACATGAGTATTCATAATTTCATCAAAATCGGTTTATTTATTTTCTCTTCTATGCATATTAATTTTTATGTCCTTCAAAAAGTATTATATTCTTTAATGACGTTTTCTTATGACGTTTTGGAATTGTGCTTTAGAAAATAATGTTAAGTTTGATTTTAATTTCATCATAAACTTATTGTCAAATGATTACATTTTAGTCAAATGAAAAATATTTTATAATATATTTTTAGAATTAGCTAAATACAATGTACTGCATAATTTACTTGTAATATTTGATTTTACTATTAAATTGGATTTTGATGGTTAAATACAAAGATATTCAAAAGCTTCATTTATTATATATGCATTTGGATTTTTGAATCTTTAAACCAAAATATGTGCTTCAAATAAAATATTTTCTTCAAAATATTTACTAAAAACGAAAAAAGTAAAAGATACTTATATATAAATATAAATATAATTAATGGTTTAGTTTTACTTGAAAATAGACACAAACCAAGTTTCAATTAATTTAATTTAAAAATTAAAAATTCTTGATATCAAATCATCAATAATATTTTTTTAAATTATTATATCTATACATGTAGATAGACATATATATATATATATATATATATATTTATTTATTGATTTTGATATATATTACCATTCCCATTTGATTATTTTATTGTATGAGGATTAAAATAAGAAAACCATTTTTTATTTTATTTTTTCTATTTTTTAAAAATCATGTATATGACGTGTCTTAAATTACACTTTACAATAGCATTAAAGATACTAAAGGTTTTCAGATTAAATAGATTAAATATTCATATGATTTTGTTAAATATCATTTATATTGGAAACTCATGGAGCTGTTCTACTACATGTTCTATCCAAAAATTAAGGATGTATCCCACTACACCAAGACAAATCTATCCCAAAACAACTCCAAGTTTTCGTTATTTATTTATTAATTAAAGTGCCAAAATGAACTAATAATCCCATGGATTATTAAAGCCAACATGAGAACAAAAACAAAATTGATTGATCATGAAAGCCAGTGATAACAAGTTTTTTCCCGCTCCCTTCATAGCAGCAAATTAATCACTCAGGTCTACAACATAATGTGCTGTCAATCAAACCTCGATCATAATCCACCTTCATTCTAGTCCACTCTTTGATTCAACGTCCAGCAGCCACATTCACAACAAACAGTAAAACCACTCATTACCAAAAATCACGATTTAAGAACACCTTCCAAGTATCAATAATTGCTTCGATGAACACAAGCCAAAGAAATTTAGAAAGCTGGACTGACGGAGCATCAGCAAAGACGACTCCAGGCAGCAGCAATTACCGTCATTTGTAATATACAAATGCCACTAAATTACGTGCATAAACTGCATAAACTGAATAAGCTAATCGATCCTGTGTAAAGCAGCAGCAGCAGCAGCAGCCAAAAAAATGATGTTGGATCCATCCTCACTAGACCTCGGCAATGTTCTGGTGCACACTAATACTACCCACAAGCATGCACACACTTCCTGTCCACCTTGACGCAGTGTTGGATCCACTTCACTAGTATTTCTGCAGGAATGGTGAGCTGGGGCACACTCAGATCTTGCAAAAATAACCCTTTGGGACGTTGGGTTGGTGATATTCTTATCGACAAACAGAGGTCCCTGGTTCTGACACAGTCATGCACTAGATCCATATCCTTTTGCACTTAGACGAATTGTTGACTGTTAAGTGTCCGCGGCTTTTTGCTTTTCGGCCGGGAGAAACCGTAATTCTGAAAAATTGATTGATTTGGCTGGTTGTCTGGTGTGCTTTGTCCTTTAACCACGTCTGGATTGTCAGTTTTGTGAGACAAGTCCTTGTAGAGTTGCCGTTAATGCATCGCCGTTTAAGCTGTGCGTCGCTAGTTGCTCCTCAATTTGCCAGAGCTTGTTCTTTGTCTCCTGCCCCTGCTCCGATAGCCCCATTTTCTGCGCACAGCAGAGAGTGCTCCAGGTCAAAGTTGGGTTTGAACACGAAAAGCGTACATGAATAATTTTATCAGTTGCGTGGTACTGTTCACGGTGTGGTGTATAGGTTGTGATGCTATCCTTGGCTCCCTATCATGACTAATCTGGTGATTGTTAAGCCGATAATTAGTGCAAGCAGAAGACCGATGATTAATCCCTTGAATTCACTGTTCGTAGTTTATTGTTTTCTTGTAAGGATAGAGTGTTGATGTGACTCTTAGCGAGGTGTTCAGCATGTCGTCGAAATTAAAGCTATTTTCTCTCTCGAAATATGTCACCTGGACCTGGTGAGTTCATTAATTGCTTCCAGGTGCAAGTAACTCTGGAGGTTATGTGTGTTATTTTGAAGGGTCTGAGTTCTCATGTGCTTATCATGTGCTGATTACCAGGCACTACATTGAATCAGAACCTACTTGTGCACGCACAATAACAGTAGATATGCCAAGTTTCGGCGAGCACGAATAGAAATGTGAAACAGTGGTACCTTACCGGACTACGTAGAGATCCAGGTCGATGGTGTGGCATCGAACCCCCTCTAGATCCATGTGTTGCTGCCGCGGTTGCAACTCGTACCCTGCACAATGACGTCAGTAGCCGACGTTCAATAGGTATGTTTCGACTGTTACTAGACAAAACACAAACTATATCAAATCGTGGATAACAACTACTTTCCTTCTCATAGTCACATGGTAGAGGAAACCCTGTCTAATTTACATATGAGCCAGCCTAAATCTCGAAAAATGCCAAATCAAAGTTTTCTTGGTGATTAGTATATCCAGTGCTAAAGCTAAAGAAGAGCATCAGGACATGTATTATGATATGGCTCTGAAAGAGTCACTTACTTGTGTACATCGATAAATTCATCTATCTCGTCCACGATCTCTTCCTGCGAAATGACAAAAGAAAATGAACACAAACTGTCATGAAGCAAATAACGGGTGGAGTTAAATTTTATCAAGAATAGCATTACATCAAGAGCTTTCTAAACCAGAAAAATTGTGCAGGTCTTTGCAAACTGCACTCGCAATAGATCTTCCATCACATCTTCCATCGTTATAATGCCACTAACTTCACCATCCAGTAAGTCATCATAGTCATCATATATGTGTTTTCCTCGTATTATTTGTTTCCGTTTGCTTTTGTCTCATTTTGAACACACTTCTCCAGATCTACATCCCCTTTCATGTCAGGCCATTCTGACCTTGTGTTGCCATTAGTCTAGTTTTTACGACTGCTTCTTTTCGTTCCTTTCACTTTTGTTACTGCTGCCATGTGGCTCCCGCCATTCTGAAATTCATTCAGAATGTCATACAACGGCAAATCATTGGGCATTCTGTCAATCAGAAAAAATATATAATTAGATTTCGCTTGTGTCTCTCAGTCACCAGTCTTAAGACTTACACAAATAAAGACAACAAATGGGTATTCTGAGTGAGATTGACACAGCTTCCACGTGCAATCAAAAGAGAAGTGGTGTTCAAATGGTGTAAAATTACATCTCCAAGTTATTTTGTTGCTTTCAATTGTCAAACATGGAAGGTTTTATGTTCCTATAAGTGCCACACCAAGAAACTTACCTTGGCATCTTCCTTATAGAAACAGGACTATCAGGGGTTTCGGCCTCAGCACGGACTGTTAATAGGCTCTTCATGAAATATGATGTTTAGAAGCCACTTGGCAATAAGAAAATCAGAAGTGGGCTCTTGTCGATTGTCTACAGGTCTTGGAAGAAGGCGTAACAGCACGTCGCCTTTGTCGATTGAGGTCGGCGAACTTCCATTACCAGCAAAACGCCAATGAGGTTGCGAGGATTTCCTTCGTAAACAGGAATACGACTGTGTCCTCGAGCCATTACTTTCCCCAATGCCTCCCTG